CCCCCCCTCCCCCCCTTCCCCCCTCTAACTGACCCTCTCTCCAATCTTCGCATTCCTCTCTCCTGTCACCATGGCCCACCTCCAATTTATGGTGGTGGTGGCGTTTGTGGCAACAGCCATTATCACTCGGCCTACTCTGGCGGCGTACACCGACCTTGTTGCCCGTCCCTCGTGGGCAGACAAGAACCAGGTACCGTTCATGGTGGTAGTGGGATGAAAGGGGGGGGGGGGAGTGACAGTACGGGGGGATATGGCGCTGTCTGGGTGGTGGAAGGGGGAGGAAGGGAAGGGGGGGTATGTGTCGGGGAAGCCCTTTTCGTTGCTAACTGCAGCCAGTCAGCCAGAGCCAGCCAGGCCGCCAGCCAGCGGCACGCACTCACTCACACGAGCACACACCGCAGGATGGCCTGACGTACAACCCGTCGTCCAACCCGCAAGGTGCCATCGGAACCCCGTGCACCATCGGCTCGGGCTGGTGCTCGCCAGTCGACAACAACAACCTGAACAAGCTCCTGGTGAGCATGAACGTTGGCCCGTTCTGTGCCACCATTCTCCGCCCGGCTGGGATGGCCATGAAGCGCGGCCTGGATAACCTCCGTGCTGCAGACTCGGTGCTGTGGGGCAAGCTCCATGCCTCGTGCATCTGCTGCCGCTACATCTCGGGATCGACGACGTACTCGAACCATGCCTGGGGCGGGGCATGCGACTTTACCATCGACGGCCAGCTTGATCCCTACGGCGACGGGCTGACCCAGACAGGGCTCATCGACGTCTATCCGCACCTGCACGCCGAGGGCTTTTACTGGGGTGCCGGCTTTGGCTACCCGGGCACCTCGTCGGAGGACGCCATGCACTTTGAGGTCTCGCAGCAAAAGTTCGACGAGTGGGAAGCTGACGGGAGCCTCGACCCGGACGCGCCGTGGCCTGTGCCGGCCTCGCCGCTCTCCGAGGCGTCGTGCCCGTGGACGACGACGCCGCCCGGCGGCGTCCTTTGGACCTCGGGCGATCCCGTCGACCCGCTCTCCATCCTAGTCCAGTCTCTCGTCTCGTACAACTGTCACTCGGCAACTGCCGACGGAAAGTACGGCTCCGGGACGGCCAACAAGGTTGCCGCCTTCCAGAGTGACCGCCAGCTGGCGGAGAGCGACGGCATTACCCGTGGCATCACGTGGCGGACTCTGTTTGTGCCGGCCGCCCTCGGCGACTCGAACACTGCGGTCCGCGGCTACAAGGAGACGCTCAATCGGCTGTATGGCGCCTCGCTCACGGTCTCCAACACCTTTGATTCGGCCATGGCCTCGGCAGTCTCCTCGTTCCAGTCGTCGCACAGCCTCGCCGCCTCGGGCTCGATCGATCTTGCCACGCTGCAGGCTATGGTCAGCGGGTGCTCGAGCGGCGGCCCCGGGCCGACACCCGCCCCAACACCCGCCCCGACACCTGCCCCGACGCCCGCGCCCACTCCAGCCCCGACGCCCACCCCGGGCTGCGTTGACGTCTACCGCGTCACCGCCACCAGCCTCAACATGCGGTCCGGGCCCGGCACCTCGTACGGTGTGGTCACCAGCCTGCCGAACAACGCCGAGGTGGATGACGTGCAGCCCGGTACGACTTGGTCAGCTAATGGTTTTACCTGGCTGCATCTCAACTACGGTACGTACGATGGGTATGCTGTGACAGCGTACCTTGCGTACGTCCGCCAGGATTGCCCCACTCCTGCGCCTACTCCTGCGCCCACTCCTGCGCCTACCCCTGCGCCCACTCCTGCGCCTACTCCTGCGCCTACTCCTGCGCCTACTCCTGCGCCTACTCCTGCGCCTACTCCGGCCCCCACGCCCACTCCTGCGCCCACTCCTGCGCCCACTCCTGCGCCTACTCCTGCGCCTACTCCTGCGCCTACTCCGGCTCCCACGCCTACTCCTGCGCCCACTCCTGCGCCCACTCCTGCGCCCACTCCTGCGCCCACTCCTGCGCCCACTCCTGCGCCCACTCCTGCGCCCACTCCTGCGCCCACTCCTGCGCCCACTCCTGTGCCCACTCCGGCCCCTACTCCGGCGCCCACTCCTGTGCCCACTCCGGCCCCTACTCCGGCGCCCACGCCTACTCCTGCGCCTACTCCGGCCCCCACTCCTGCGCCCACTCCTGCGCCTACTCCTGCGCCTACTCCTGCGCCTACTCCGGCTCCCACGCCTACTCCTGCGCCTACTCCTGCGCCTACTCCGGCCCCCACTCCTGTGCCCACTCCGGCCCCTACTCCGGCGCCCACTCCTGTGCCCACTCCGGCCCCTACTCTGGCACCTACTCCGCCTCCCACCCCGGCCCCGCCCACCCCGGCATGCACTCCGTGCTCGCCACCAAACGCATGCTCCAACGCCGGGATCTGCTGCGACGGCCAATGCCGCTGCGACTTTGGCTTCCAACCCGACGCGGCCGCCCGCACAGACTGTGTCGCAGTCCCGACCCTCGACCTCGGCAGCGCTGCAGCGTCAGCGTCGGCCTCAGTCTTTGGCGGCCACTTTGCGTTCTTCCGCTACACGCCCTGGGCCACGTCAGGCGCCGGTCGCAGCCTGCTGCAGACCGGCGCAGCCGAGGAATTGGTCATCTCGGTCGTTCCGCAAGGCGTGTTGCCTCAGGACTTTGTCATCTACGCCTCTGAGGGGACAACGCTGCCGTCGGCAACCGCCCACGACGCCGTGTCAGCCCTCTCGGACGACAAGACAGCACAGACGCTGCGGCTGATGCCGTCGGCCGGCGGGCCGGCAACGGTCGTCATGATCGGCGTGACATCGCAGAGTGACGCCGCGTTTGCCATTTCAGCCGCCCCGGTCTCGGCCGCAGCCGGCGCCACCGCCGGCCGTGTCACCAGCGACTCACCGCCGTCTGGTGTCTCGGACAAGCCGTGGTTCATCTACGCTGTCGGCGGCGGCGCCGTCGTCGTCCTCGCCGTCGTCGTCGCCGTCGTCGCCGTCGCCGTCCGCCGCTCGCGGTCGGGCATCAGCTATGCCGGCGATGACCTCTACGACAACATGGCCTTCGTCTCGGCCATTGCCCCGCCCTCCAGCCGCGATAATGCGTCTGTTGAACTCGAGCACATCTCGCCCAAGGCGTGCCCTCCGGCCACCAAGCCCAAGAATGTAGCAAAGGCGACCAGCCCGTCGTCGCAGCGCCGCGCGCTCTATCCGCTCGAGCCGCGTGAAGCCGACGAGCTCAAGTTCGCTGCCGGCGATATCATCAACGTCATCGAAGAGTATGACGACGGCTGGGCGCTTGGTGTGATGGGTGGTCGCGAAGGCGTCTTCCCTATCTCCCACACCGCACTCGTCGCCGCCGATCCCACCGACACCACCCTGGCATGCTTCGAGTACACGCCGCGGCAGAGCGACGAGCTCGCCATGAAGCCAGGCGACGCCATTGCCGTCCTCGAAGAGTTTGAAGACGGATGGGCCCGCGGCCGCAACACCCGCTCTGGTGCCGAGGGCGTCTTCCCGGTCTCGTACATCCGCCGCCGTAACGGCTCGTCCGCAAGCAGCCTCCCGCCCAAGCCGCAGCCGCTCCCAAGCTCGGCGCCCGCGCCCTCGGTCGCGCCGGCAGCCATTCCGCCCAAGCCGCGGCCGCTGTCGAACGCCCCGCCGCCGCCAACCTCACCACTCGCCCTTCCACCCAAGCCCAAGCCGCTCGCCCATCGATGATTGCCTGGCAAGAGACCGTGCGCCAGGCATGGCATCCCACAAGCTGACGACCCGGCCCATAGCTCCGTGCCCACCACTGGCACTCGGGGGGGCCGATCGCGCACGCACGCCGACTCGGCGAAATGAATGGAACATTTCTCGGCCGTGGGCAGAAAAAGGTCGTGCTTCTCCGCCGCCACGGCAGCATGACGCTTCCCGGTCACAGGCTACCGCCCTCGAGCCAGCCATGCTCACACCGAACGCCAGCGTGTGTCAGATGGAGACTGTAAGCGCCCACGTGGGCGCGCTCGTCGAGGAGGACGAGGACGTCCTCGAGTACATCCTCTCCATGGCCCTCTCCGACCGCCACGCCGCCGCCGAACCCATCACTGACCTGCTCCTGGCCTCGGCCGACGACGGCGACCAGGACGACGTCCCGGCCCGAGTCGCCGCCATGCTCACCGACCTCGCCCGTGCCGAGGGCTGGTCCGACACCGATGCCAACGCCGACGCCGACGCCGCTGCTGCTGCCCCGCTCCCGCCCACCACCGAGGTTCTCGCCACAGCCGTCGTCCTCGGCAAGATCAACAGCAGGAACGACGCCGACGACTCTGACCACGGCCGCAACCGCGACGAGGGCAGTGAGCGTAGTGATGACGGAAGCAACCACGACGACGACGACGACGACAATGACGATGACGGTGGGAGTGGTGGTGGCGGCAGATCGGGATTAGATGGCCGCGGCAGCAGCCGCAAGGGCCGACAGTCGGCCGGACGAGCCGGCAAGCGCCGGACCAAGCTCAGCAAGCGCCAGAAGCGGCTGATGAAGAAGCGGGCGCAGCGGAGTGCTGCCATGCAGCAGAGCGATGCCGCCATGGAGCCCGGAGCGCGGGCTGATGACGGCTCGCTGCTGGACACCTTTGACGAGACCATCGAGAACCGCGAGGCCGTGGCGCAGGTCTCACGTTTCCACTGGGAAACACACCGGTGCGAAGAGATCGAGGTCGAGTTGCGCGACGTCAATATCCGGGCCGGCGATCGCGACCTGCTCGTCAACGCGCCGTTGCGGCTTACTCCGGGGCGAAAGTATGGGCTCGTCGGGCGCAACGGCGTCGGCAAGTCGACGCTGCTGCGGCACATTGCCAACGGAACTCTAATCGGCTTTCCGGTCAACGTCCGCGCGCTGTATGTCGAGCAGGAAATTGTGGGCTCGGCGGATGAGACGCCGCTGGAGAGCGTGCTCGCGGCCGACACGGCGCGGCTGGCGCTTCTCGCCGAGGAGGTGCGGCTGGAGGCGGCCGTCGCCGATCCCGAGGTGCGGAGCCACGTGGTGGCGCTCGCCGTCCTCGCCGACCGGGCCAAGGCTGTCGAGCGCGAGGCGCGCCTGGTGGCATCGAAGCGGTCGGGCGCACGCGGCAAGGTGGCGCGGCGCCGGCTGCTCGACGCCGAGGCTGCGTACGCAGCTGCGTACGAGCTCGCAGTCGCTGCTGCTGCCGCCCCGGAGTCGGTGCCGGCCGACGACGTGCTCGCCGAGGAGCTTCTTGGCCAGGTCGTCGAGCGGCTGATCGAGATCGAGGCTGACACCGCGGAAGGACGTGCAACTAAGATCCTGCGCGGGCTCAACTTTAGCGACACCGCTATGAACGCGCCAACCGCCGAACTGTCCGGCGGGTGGCGGATGCGGGTGGCGCTCGCGCGCGCACTGTTCATGAAGCCCGACTTGCTCATGCTCGACGAGCCGACCAACCATCTCGACCTGCGGGCCATTCTCTGGCTTCAGGCTTTCCTCTCGAGGTACGAGGGCATGCTAGTGGTCGTATCGCACGACCAGGCTTTCCTCGACGCGGTCGCCACCGACATTATTGTCTTTCGCAAGCTCACACTCACCTACTATCCGGGCAACTTTTCGGCGTACGTGGCGATCAAGGCTGACCTCGACGCCAAGGCTGCAACGCTGGCGGCCAACGACGCCAAGAAGCGAGCGGCCATTGCCAAGTCGATCGAGTACAACAAGACCCAGGCGCGCAAGAAGGGTGATGACAAGCGGCTGAAACAGGTCACCTCGCGGCAGCGCAAGCTCGACCGCATGGGCCTCGAGAAGCTCGAGTCCGGCAAGCGGTACAAAAAGTCGTACCACGGCTTCCGCGAGAAGGCCACTGTCGACACGCCCGATCCGCCGATCAGCTTCATTTTCCCGTCGCCTTCGGCCGTCTCGACGCTCGGCGATCTCATCCAGGTCGACGACGTGACTGTCGGCTACGACCGCGACGTCGGCCCAGTTGTCCGCAAGGCGTCACTCGCTGTCGAGCGCGGCTCGCGCATCGTCCTCCTCGGAGCCAACGGCTCGGGCAAGTCGACGCTCATCAAGGTCATTGTTGGCGAGCTTTCACCGTGGTCTGGCACCGTCAATGTCGCTCGCGGCGTCAAGATCGGCCACTACGCCCAGCACCACGCCGACGCGCTCGCGCTCGACCTAACCGCTGTTGAGTGGCTCCATACCCAGTTCCCGGGCGGCTCGATCCAGGACTACCGCAACTTTCTGGGCCGGTTCAACCTGACTGGCAACAAGGCGTTGCAGCCGATGGAGACGCTGTCGGGTGGTGAGAAGGCGCGGGTGGTCTTCGCCACCATGATGTACGAGTGTCCGCACGTGCTGGTCATTGACGAGCCGTCAAACCATCTCGACCACGATACGCTGGAGGCGCTCATCGAGGCGCTCGAAGGCTACGAGGGTGCCGTCGTCCTCGTCTCGCACGACCAGCACCTGCTCTCGCGATTCGGTGGTGTCGTTTACACCGTTCGCGATGGGGCTGTGGAGCTGTTTGACGGGGGCGTCGCTGAGTACATCGAAACGCTGTAGCCGGCGTACAGCCGTCACCGCAGTGCGCCGAGAGGAACAAACGGATCGTCGCCAGCGCTATCGTCGTCAAAGTCGTAGTATGAGTCGTATGACCGCTCGTCGCCAGAGCCGGTCAGATACGAGTCGTCGGCATCGGGGCTCAGGGTCAGTGGCCTGGCCGGCTCGCGCGGTCCGGTCGGCGTTGCCAGTGCCTCGGCCTGTGCCGCCGCCGCCGCCAGCGCCTGCTCGCGCTCGGCCGCGGCAATTGCCGCAGCTGCTGCTAGCTCGCGCTCGGTCTCCTCGGCAAGCTGGTTGCGCGCGCGACGACGCTCCTCCACGAGCCGCAGGATCGGGTCGTCTGAGTCGTCCGACGCTGCGCCGTCGTCGTCGCTAGCCCGGGTGACGTGGCGAGGCGAGGGCGAGCGGGATGAAGTGCTGCTGCCTGGGTGACGCACGCGAATGGAAGACGATGGCTCGACCGGCGAAGAGCGCGCGTGAAGCAAGCGCTGGATGACGTCATCGGCGCGACGTCGGTGTCGGCGTTGATGCTCTCGTCGGCTGCCACAGCGGGAGGCTTGCTTTGGACGGGTTCGGCGGCTGGAGGTGGTGCGCGGACGGCGGCGACTTGTGGTGCTCTCCGCAAGATGACAAGCAGGTCGTGGACGCGAGCAGTGTCTGCATCCGCGCTGCGGGCAGTGGCGATGAGGCGCGACTTGGCCGTGGCGGTCATACCGGATGCTGCGTGAGGCAAAAGGACAAGCATGCAAGAGACAGAGGCGGCAGCGGCAGCAGCCTCGACGGCGGCCGGCCGAACCGGCCAGCCGGCGCCGATCAGTAGCACGAGCGGTTCGGCCGAGTCGGAGCGAGCAGCGACGACGACCGGGTCGGGATCGTCGATGTCGACGGTGTCTGGGGAGACATGCGGCAGCAGCAACGCCAACGCGTCAGGATGGTCCGCGGCAGCGGCGCAGAGGTCGTTGACACTCGGCGTTGCGCCGGCAGCCAGCAGGGCGGCCAGCAGCGGCACCGAGTCCCACCGGATGGCCTCGGACATTGGGGTTCGCGTCCGCGAGCGCGGATCCAGCGGCTCGTGAAGCGCAACAGCACCTGTAGCGATCAGACAGGCGGCCGCGCCAAGAAGCGCGGTGCGGAGGCGCGGGAGGCGGGTGCAGAGGGCGAGCACACGCGCCAGTGGGCGGACACCAGTGGCATCGTCGGCGTCGAGCAGCTCGCGGGCGGCAGCAGAGCCGCGGGCAAGAATACCGATGAGCGCAATGAGCTGGTCCACCGCAGGTTCGCCGGCTCGCGGGAGAATGCGCAGCGCGTAGTCGACGACGGTGTGACCGGCGGCATCGCGGGTGCAAAAGACCGAGTCTTCGACGGCGGCGGCGACAGCAGCGACGATGGCGCGGTCGCCAAACTGAACGGTGAGGTGGGCCAGCGGTGGTTCCGACTCGGCGGCGGCAAGGCCGAGCGGCTCGCTCAGCAGCCACGTTACGAGGTGCGGGCAGCGCGAGGCGAGCGCAAAGTGCAGGAGCGGGCGGGTGCCAGGGAGCGGAGGCGCGGCAAGGTAGGCCGCAGCGCGAGTGGCATCCATGGCGCCGACAAGCGCATCGACAAGGAGGATGGTGACGGCGAGGTTGCCCTGGGAGGCAGCGAGGATGAGGGCGGTGGTCTGCGGCGGAGCCGGGCCTGGTGAGCGGGTGCCGAGCAACGGATCGGTGGCTGCAAAGACGTTGACAAGGCCCGGGTTGCCGGCCGCGACTGCAGCAAGACCGCCCACGGCTGCGTCGCCGCCGGCACCGAGCAGCAGGGCAATGACCCGGGGCGGAGGATCGGCCTCAACCGCCAGCTCCAGCAGCGACTTGCCGTCACGCAGCGGCGCGTTGACCTCGTCTGCCTGCAGCTCGGCGACAGCGCCGCGAAGTGCGGCCGCTGCAGTGTGGTCGGTTCGGAACGCGTCGTCCTCTAGCATGGCGAGCACGGCAGCCGGTCGCGACGGTTTTGGAGGTACTGAGCTTGGACTTGGGCTTGGGCTTGGGCTTGGGCTTGGGCTTGGGCTTGAGCTGGGGCTAGGGCTGAGATTCGGGCTTGGTTGGCGCGGTGACGACGTGGAGGAGCGGCGGGCCGGCAGCAGGGCCGGTGATGCGGTTGGGGCGAGTGCAGAGACGTTGACGTCTGGCACGTCCGACAGGAGGATGGCGTCGGCAATGTCTGGCTGCTGCTGTTTCCGGTGTCTTCTGCGGTCGGCCAAAGCAGGTGATGACGGGAGCGTGGGGGAGGCCGGTGCGAGTGTGGGTGCTGGTGTGGTCTGAGCCTTGGTAAAGGGAACAGCCCCGTTGCTCCCAGCAGTGGAATCATCGTCAAGGCCATCTTCCAGCAGTGGCGGTGCCGCAGCCGATGCCGGGGCGGAGGCGGGGGGCGGGGTCAGGGAGGGGGGCGAGGCGGGGGATGAGGCCTGATCGGGTGCCGGCGCAGATGCCGACACAGACGCCGACACAGACGCCGACACAGACGCCGATGACGCCGACGACGATGACGACGACGACGACGATGCAACCGACCCGGCAGCGGCTCTGTGGCGCCTAGTCCGCTTGCCCCTGCCCTTGCCTCTTGCCCTGCCCTTGCGCTTGCGCTTGCCGCGGCCGCGGCCCCCTGCCCTGCTTCGGGCCGTGCCCTTGCGCCGGCTGCGGCTCGATGCGGAGGCGAGGGTGCTGCGGCGGCGGGACGAGTCGCTCCGCAGGCGGGAGCGGGTCGGGGCGGCGTCAGGCGGGGCATCGCCGCCGAGCAGCGGGCCGACGACAGCAACAAGCGCCTTGGCGGCGTCGAGGTCGGCGCAGCCGAGGGCAAGCGGGCGGGCGAGGTGAGCGTCTCCAGGAACCAGCTCGACGACCGCGCCAGGGCTCGACTCGGCCACTGCCGCAGGATCTGGGAGGCGAACCGCAGCATAGGCGTAGACCCACAGGCCATGGCTCCGCAGCCCGCCGTCGGTCCGCTGCTCGACGAGGGCACGCCCGCTGACGTCCACCGCCACCGCACGCAGCGCCCACCGCCCGCCGCGCTCACGGAGGACAGGCGGTAGGTCGTGGGCTCCGGGCGGCCACGCCGGTGTAGCAGCGACGTCGGCAGTAGTGTCGGTGGTGGCCGGCGGCGTCAGAGTCGACGACATGCGTCGCGGGGGAGAAGTGCGAGATGAAAGGACGAGGACAGGCACAAGGAGGGGGGGCTGCCTCCCCCCGGGGGGAAACGTGTGTGTGGTTGACAAGGAAAGACAAGCAAAAGCTGGCGGGACAGGCTACGAGCCGCGGCGGGCGTCGATGTGCATGATGGTGACCCGAGGCGGGGTGGGATCCGGCTGGTTGCCGGAGGCTCCCGGTCGACCCGGAGGCGGGAGGAGCGGAAATGAGAGCCGGCAGATGATGGCGGCGACGACAGATCCCGGGGCCAGGTCGGCAAGCGCGGCCTCGATGTCGTGAGCGAGGTACATGGCGGCGACCGGGGTAGTCGCGCTTGGTGTGCCATGCTCGATGAGGCCGAGATGGACGAGGGCCGCGCCCTGGTCTGCCGCCGAGTGAGTCCGCAGAGAGGCGATGGCCACGTTCTCGACGCGAAAGTAGTCTGCGGTGGCCTTGCGCCATGCTGCGCCGCGGAGCGTCTTCAGCGCCACCGTCCGCAGCCGAATGTCGGTCGATGCCTGCGGGCCGGCGGCGCGCACCTTCTTGACTGGCTTGACGATGCCGAGCGTCCCGGTTGCCGACAGCGTGCTCTGCGCCAGCCGCGGGCCGTACACCCGGCCAGCCGGTCCAGCCCGACGGCCCTCGGTGAACGCCAGCTCCGGCATTGCCGCGCCGCCGCGCCGCCGCGCCTGTCCGCGATGACGGCTGCCCTGCCCACCGCGCCCGCCGCGCCTGCCCGCATGCCGCTTCTCATCGCCAGTCGATGGCGGGGGTGGCGACGAGCCAAACAGCACCCGCGGGCGCTTGGTTGGACGAGGATTACTCACATCGTTGTGCGCAGCCGCGACCAGGCCGGGCTGGAAGGCATCGGGAAGCTCAGGCGCACGGCGTGGACTGGCGGCAAAGTACCTTCCCAAGCCGGTGCGACGGTCGTCATGATCGCCGCCGCGATCAGGTGCGCGATCTTGCCGTTTTCCGGAAAAGGTCGCAGACGACACGGCTTCTGCTCCTGCTCCACGAAGCGGGGAAGAGGGGCTTGCCAGAGAGGGGACGCCCCAGCCGTGGTTTACAGCAGATGAACGTGGATTGTTGACGGTGTACCGCGGGCGAGACATCGAGTGGCAGAGGGAGGGAGAGAGGACGGTCTGGGAAACGCGATTGATCGCAAATTCTGACGAGTGGAGTGTCTGCAAGTACATCGCGGATCTGACTCCCCCAAGCCTAAGCGCTTCATGCGTATGAAAAGGCTCACGAGCAAGTTTGCGCCTTGTCGAGCCCGGAAAGACCCGTCCTAAGCCGCCGATGCCGTCCTACGGTCGGCGGCTTCGTTCGATGTTCGGCTGGTTGTGGACCCTCTAGTCTACATCATTAAACTGATTCCCACACACGCGCGGATCTGACTTGTGGCTTGTTTGATGAGGTATGTGGCCGCGGACACGGCCGTGGACAGACGCGGAGCAGTCAAAGACGACCACTGCGAGGATATTGGCTTGATGGCGGACCGAGTGCATGAGGAGATAGTGGGCATCTGCGGCGCAGGCAACGTGACAGCGATCGGTGGAGCAGGCAAAGGCGCAGCGATCGGTGGGGCAGGCAAAGGCGCAGCGATCGGTGGGGCAGGCGGGATGCGCGGAGCGCGACAAGCAGTGGAGGGTATTGGTGCGAAGAGAGGTCGTAGTCGCCGTCATCATCAACGTTAAAGATACCGATGGTCGCCAATTGCAGCTATGCCCACGTGTCGCGCCACTATTTTTTTGCGGAGAATCCAATTTTTCTTCTCCCTCCCCATGGATGACATCATCGTCGGCCTCCCAATGAACCATGGCTGTGGCTGTGGGCGACTGGCCGGCGACCATCCTTCATCCTTCGTCGGGCTTCCACGACGATGACCAGGTCGGGGGCCACGTCTACAGCCGGGCAGAGACAGACACGTTTGAATGCACCTCTCTCTACCGTCTACCTTCCCACCCCCACCCCTCCACAGCCCGCACCGCAGAGCCGGTGCATGCTCAGAGTAGGAGGCCATCTTCTGCAAGGAACCCTAGCCATGTCTGCCCTGGCGACGACGACGACGACGACGACGACGACGACTTCCCCTACATCTTCTCCCACCGGTGCCTCTCCCACTCCGCTCGCTACGGCCACTGTGGTCGTCGACCCGGACGCAGCGCTAGCGAGCCTGGAGGCGAGCCTGGCCGAGCCGGCGGCTGTGCTGGCGGGTGGCGGCGTGGTCGGCTTCCCCACCGAGACGGTGTACGGGCTCGGGGCGAACGCGCTGAGCGCCGATGCTGTGGCCGGCATCTTTGCTGCCAAGCGTCGGCCGGCAGACAACCCGCTGATTGTGCATGTGTCCGGGCGCGAGATGCTGGCGCCACTGGTGGATCTGGACGGCGTGGGAGCGAGCCAGCGGGCGGTGATCGACGGCCTGATGACGGCGTTCTGGCCTGGCCCGCTCACACTGCTACTGCCCAAGTCCGCGGCGGTGCCGGACGAGGTGACTGCTGGCCATCCGACAGTTGGCGTGCGGATGCCGTCGCACTCTGTGGCGCGCGCGCTGATTGCCGCCGCGGGTGTGCCTCTTGCTGCGCCGTCGGCCAACCTCTCGGGACGCCCATCGCCGACGACCGCCGGCCACGTGCTGACCGACCTTGGCGGTCGTATCCCATGGGTTGTCGACGGCGGCTCGTGCGATTTTGGCCTTGAGTCGACTGTGGTCGATCCGCTCCGCGAGCCGCCGATGGTCCTGCGGCCTGGCGCGGTGACGCTCGAGCAGCTGCGGAGTGTGGCGCCAGACATGGTCGTCCATTCGGGCGAGGTTGAGGAGGCGCCGGCGACGCCGGGCCTCAAGTACACCCACTACTCGCCATCGGCGCCGGTGGTGGTCTTTGACGGCGGCTCGCCGGAGGCGATGTCGCGCTCGCTCGCGTCGTGGTGTGCCGAGACCAGCGCGGCGGCCGAGGCCGGCGCGCCCACTCCGCGCATCGGACTCGTTGCCACCCGCCCGGACGTTGTTGTCCCGCCAACCACCGCACGGGTCATACAGCTCTTTGACACCGATGACCGCGCCGGCGCTGCTGCCGCCCACGGCCTCTTTGCTGCCCTCCGTGAGCTCGACGAGGACGGCTGTACCCACATCATCATCGAGGGCGTCTCGCGCGCCCACTTTGGTCTCGCAGTCATGAACCGGGCGCTCAAGGCCGCATCGCGGACCGTTGTCTGCCACGAGGCTGGAGCCTCGAGCTGATCCGGGCCGCATCCGACCGCAATGAACGCCAGCCAATTGGAGCCAGTTGTTGCGTGCCTCGAGCCTGCGCACCAGCGTTGCGCCGTAATGCTTGTCTTTCGACGCGTCGTCTCGCCACTCCCCACCGTTTCCACCACCCGCACTCCCCACACCCTGCTCCCACCCCTCTCCCGTACCTCCATGTCGTCCACCGCACCCGGCATCGCCACCATGGACGTGGCCAAGACCGAGACCGACTCGGCGGCGGTCTTCTACCCGTCGGCCACCCGCAACGCACCGGTCATCCTCGACAAGTTGCAGGAGATCCTGGCGACGCCGCCGGAGAGTGCGGCTCTGCCCGAGGCCCTCGAGGTGGTGGAGATTGCCTCCGGCTCGGGCCAGCATGCCGCGGCGTTTGCGACCGGCCTCGGCGACCGCATCGCTGCCTGGCACCCGTCCGACGTGACCGATGAGCTCGCGGCGTCGGTGGCTGCGCACGCAGCCGCCGCCAACGTGTCCGACAAAGTCCGTCCGCTGGTTGTGGCGGACATGACTAACGCACGATGGATCGAGGCCTTTGGCTCCTCGCCGCACCTTGTGTACAACGCCAACATGATCCACATCGCTCCGCTCGCCGCAGTCGACGGCCTCTTTGCCGGTGCAGGCCGCCTCCTTGCCGATGGCGGCATGCTCATCACCTACGGCCCGTACAACGTTAATGGCGCCTTTACTGCGCCTTCCAACGAGGCCTTTGACGCCTCGCTGCGGGCCCGCAACCCCGAGTGGGGCATCCGCGATGTCGCCGACCTTGCTTCCCGCGCATCGGCCGCGGGCATGGTCCTTGCCTCCTCCCACCCGATGCCGGCCAACAACTTTGTCCTTGTTTTTGTCAAGCCCAGCGGGGGAGCATGACCAACTGCCTAGCTCGCCAGCTGCTGCTGCCCGCCCGCCTTCTTCATGATTTTCGTCTCTTTTCTTCACGATCAATTCACTGTGCCTCTCCCTTCGCTGGCCGCGCCTCAACCACCGGCTGTCCACCGGCCGCGGCCGTCCTCCCCTCCCCTCCTCGCCCGCCACTACCTACATCCATCACCCATCCGGCCGTCCACCCCCAAACCCATGTGCGATCCCCATGTGCGATGCCACCCCCTCCCTTCCCTCCACCCCCTCCGCCTTGGATTAAGTGTGGCCATCATGAACGCGAGACCATGCTGCCATCTTCAATGGCCTTCCTTCGTGAAACTGTGCCATGCGACGGGCATAAAACGCAGCCAACTCCCTCGACTCTGCCCCACTCGGTTCAAGAGCATCAACTCTTTTTCATTGCCTTGCCTTTGCTTGCGAATTCTTCCACAGACGGCAAACCACGCACCACTTGTTTCACAAACAAACCAACCATGGCCGACGACGATGTGCAGGTTTTCAAGTTCCAGGTACGTCCTCTCCTCCTCCCTCCTCCCCAACTACCTGCAATGGTCTCCCATGGCCCCTTGGGCCCAGGCCTCCCGCTCTGACGGGTAAGCCTGCCCTCTTCCCCCCCTCCCCCTTGCCCCACCCCCCGGTGCCTCCCTCGCGACGTCACGATTCGCATCCAATGTCCGGTCGCCTGCCACCACCGGCGGTGCGGCCTGGTACAGCCATTCTCTCTTGGTCCTCCCAAGAGACCCTCCCCCCAATGACTGGCCATGCCCATGGCTACATGGTCTGGGTCTTTCCCCCGCTCTCCTTCCACCGCATGAGCCTCCCCCCCTGCGTCGATGACGCGGTCGGCTCGACTGTGACGACCTTCACGAGCGCACCTTCATGAATGTCTCGAAGCTTCATGACGGGTTTTTCTGTTTTGACGGCTCACAATTTTTTCTTGCATGTGAGACCACCCCCCCCCCCCCCCCTTCCCCCACCATGACTCATGCCCAACACCACCACCGCCTCCTCCGAACAACAGGCTGAGATCAACCAGCTGATGTCGCTGATCATCAACACGTTCTACTCGAACAAGGAGATCTTCCTCCGCGAGCTCATCTCGAACTCGTCGGATGCTCTCGACAAGATCCGGTACCAGTCGCTGACGGACCGCGAGGCACTGGCGACCGAGGCCGAGCTTAAGATCGAGCTCATCCCGGACAAGGCCAACAACACGCTGACGATCCAGGACTCTGGCATCGGCATGACCAAGGCTGACCTTGTGCAGAACCTGGGCACGATCGCGCGGTCGGGCACCAAGAACTTCATGGAGGCGCTGCAGGCCGGCGCTGACGTGTCGATGATCGGCCAGTTCGGTGTCGGTTTCTACTCGGCGTACCTCGTTGCCGACCGCGTGACGGTTGTGACGAAGAACAACGACGATGACCAGTACATCTGGGAGTCTGCTGCCGGCGGCTCGTTCACCATCAAGCGTGATACCGAGGGCCCGTTCATCGGCCGCGGCACCAAGATCATCCTGCACCTCAAGGACGACCAGCAGGACTTCCTCGAGGAGCGCAAGATCAAGGACCTCGTCAAGAAGCACTCTGAGTTCATCGGCTACCCGATCAAGCTCTGGGTCGAGAAGGAGAAGGAGGAGGAGGTGACCGACGACGAGGCGTCCGACGACGAGGCCGAGGAGAAGAAGGAGGGTGACGAGCCCAAGATCCAGGACCTCGACGACGACGACGACGACGAGGCCGGCAAGAAGAAGAAGACCAAGACGGTGAAGACTGTGGAGACCGAGTTTGAGCTCCTCAACCAGAACAAGCCGATCTGGACCAAGAAGCCGGACGAGATCACCAAGGACGAGTACGCCTCGTTCTACAAGTCGCTCACCAACGACTGGGAGGAGCACCTGTCGGTCAAGCACTTTTCGGTGGAGGGCCAGCTCGAGTTCACGGCCATGCTCTTTGTGCCGAAGCGCGCGCCGTTCGACCTCTTCGAGCCGAGCAAGAAGCAGAACAACATCAAGCTCTACGTCCGCCGCGTCTTTATCATGGACAACTGCGAGGAGCTCATCCCCGAGTGGCTCAACTTTGTCAAGGGCGTCGTCGACTCTGAGGACCTCCCGCTCAACATCTCGCGCGAGACGCTGCAGCAGAACAAGATCCTCAAGGTCATCCGCAAGAACATCGTCAAGAAGTGCATTGAGATGTTCGGCGAGCTCGCTGAGTCGGAGGACCCCGAGGACTTTAAGAAGTTCTACGAGGCCTTCTCCAAGCACATCAAGCTTGGCATCCACTCGGACTCGGCGAACCGCGCCAAGCTCGCCAACCTGCTCCGCTACTACTCGACCAAGTCGGGTGAGGAGTGGACCTCGCTCAAGGACTACGTCACCCGCATGAAGGAGGGCCAGAACTCGATCTACTACATCACCGGCGAGTCGCGCGCCGCAGTCGAGAACTCGCCGTTCATCGAGCGCCTCCGCAAGAAGGACCTCGAGGTTCTCTTCCTTGTCGACCCGATCGACGAGTACGCTGTCCAGCAGCTCAAGGAGTACGACGGCAAGAAGCTCGTGTGCGTCACCAAGGAGGGTCTTGAGATCGACGAGACCGAGGACGAGAAGAAGTCGTGGGAGGAGGCCAAGGCCAAGGCCGAGGGCCTCTGCACCTTCATCAAGGAGGTGCTCGGCGACAAGGTCGAGAAGGTCGTCTGCTCCAAGCGTGTCGTTGAGTCGCCGCTTGTCCTCGTCACCGGCCAGCACGGCTGGTCGTCGAACATGTCGCGCCTCATGAAGGCCCAGGCCCTCCGCGACACCTCGATGTCGTCGTACATGGAGCCGAAGAAGATCTGCGAGATCAACCCGACCAACTCGATCATCGTCGCCCTCCGCGACCGCGTCGACGCCGACCGCAACGACCGCACCGCCAAGGACCTCATCGACCTGCTCTTCCAGACCGCGCTCCTCACCTCGGGCTTCACCCTCGACGACTCGGCTGGCTTTGCCAAGAAGATCGCCGGCATGGTCAAGCTCGGCCTCTCCATCGACGACGACGACGACGATGTTGTCGACGACGACGTCCCCGACCTTGAGGAGGACGACCTCGACGACGCCGGTTCGTTCGAGGCTGTTGACTAGATAGTTTTGTCTGTGAAACACAACCTGCCTACATACATCACCTCCTCCTAGCTTTCATTCACCCTCTTATCTTCATACAGGGAAGGCTACCGTCATAGCCTCGTCATACGCCGCGCCGCCGCCGGGGAGGAGCTTGCCGCCGTCGAGGGCGTCGAGGACGATCCTGGCACGCGCCTTGAGAAACGCGTCGTCGCCCCACCAGCCCCATCCACAGAGAAAGCGGGCGAGGTCGGCGGCGGCGAGAGAGAGCTGGACATCAAAGGCATCGTAGGTAAAGGTGGCGGCGGCGGAAGGGGCCAGGCGGGCAACGAGGGCGGCGTGGTAGCCTCTCAGGAGCGAGTCCTCGGCTGCCGGCTCCAGATCGAGTCCGCCGGCCATAAAGAGCTTGGCCACGTCACGCGAGGGCACGCCGCGGCCGACGTACTGCATGTCGACAAAGGCGACGGGCCCGGCATGGGCGGCAGCCATCAGGTTGGCCGGCTTGACGTCGCCGTGGATGATGCACTGGCCTGGATCTGCCTTGAGCCGGGCGTCGATGGCGGCGGCGGCGGCCTTGAGGCGGCCAGGCAGGCCGCGGGAGCCCATGGCGCGCCACTCGTCGGGCCGGGTGTCGAGGTACCAGTACGAGCCCTGCTCGGCGAGGCCGATGACGGCGACGGCGTCTTCGGCGGCATCGCCCCAGTGGGCGGCGTGGAAGACGGCGAGGGCGTCGAGGATGCGGGCGGCCATGACGACGTCGATGTCCGACGGAACCGGCGGGAGCGGGAGGTAGGCCATGGCAATGACTAGGGTATCGAGCTTGCTCCGTCCGCGGGTGGGCAGCTCGCCGGCGTGGCTCACCAGCTCTGCATCCGCGGCATCGGCACCGGCGGCGATGGTCCACACGCCCACGACGTCGGCGCAGGCGAGGCAGTCCGGGGCTGCGGCAGCGAGGGCGGCAGCAAGGCCCGATGCGTAGAAGGCGGCCTCAACAAGGTACGATGCCCGCTTGCGGGCGTCGCCGAGGTTGGCGGTAGCGACATCGGGCATGGCGATGGTCTTGAGGAGGACGGGCTTGGTGGACGGGGCCGACAGCTGCAGGCACTCGCCCATGCCGCCCCACAGCGAGGCCACGTGGGCGGTGCGGACGTCGGGAGAGGGCTTGCCGCGGACGTATGCGTCGACCCATTGTGGTGGTGGCGGGAGGGCGGTGGGGGAGGCGGCCATGGTGGTGATGGTGGAAGAGGGTGTTTGTGGGGGGGGGGAGGGGGAGGGGGAGGGGGAGGGGGAGGGGGAGAGAGAGACAGCTGCCGGGAGGCAGATAGCCAGGCAGCCGGACACCAGGCAGATTGGCATGCAGCAGCTAGTGTGATGTGTTATGCTCGATGCGGGATGTCCGATGAATGCTGTACGGCACTGTGCGGGCGTCACGGTTGAGGCTGAAGGAGCGAGAGCTCGATGGCAAAGCCGATGGCCAGCCGGGCAAAGTCGCGCATGTGGGCCTCGGAGCAATGATCGAGGGTGTCGGTCGAGCCGTGGATAAAGGGGTTGGACTTGGTGAACTCGGCCTCAAAAGGAAAGACGGCGTCGACGCCGACCGAGGTCCACGACGCGTGGTCCGAGCAGCGGTAGCCGCACTTGGTGTCGGTCCACGTCGCCTCGAGGGTATACGCGTCGACCAGAAGCCGGAGGAAGGCGTTGAGCGGGGCCGAGGTGTAGTCGGTGACGATGCCGACGGTGGGCACGGCCGACGAGCCGTCGTAGCACGTCATATCAAACTGCGCCATGCCGACAATGGTCTTACCTTCGGAAGCGTACTTGTTGGCGATGGCGGCCGAGCCGCGGAGGCCGACCTCCTCGGCGGCGTAGAACTGGAGCTGGATGGTGTTGTATGGCTCAACGCCCGCAGCAGCGAGAATGCGGAGGGTCTCGAGCAGGGTGACGGTGCCTGAGCCGTCGTCGTCAACGCCCGGGGCGCGGCCGGTGGACGACGAGCCGACCGAGTCAATGTGTGCGCCGAGGATGACGATGTCGCTTGTCTGGCCGGCGATGGTGACGATGACCGAGGGCTGGAGGAAGGAGTTGGCAAAGTACTCGACCGTGATGCCGGGGTGTGCGCCGGCGTAGACGGAGGCCAGATCGTGGACCCACTCGGCGGCGCGGCGGCCGGTGTCCGAGGTGTAGTAGCGGGTGTAGAAGGAGGAGAAGGTCTCCACGTTGGCCACCATGGCCGAGACCTCCACCTTGTTGGCCAGCACTCCCACCACAGCCTTGTGCATGGGCTGGGCCGGGAAGACGTACTTGCCCGCCACCGCCACGGGGTACCCCTTGCCCAGCCCCTCGCTCTCCGTCACGTCCACAAACCGGCTTGCCGCACCGCCGTCCGCCACAAGCTCATCGATCTCACTGAGGCTCAGCCATGCCGCACGCGTCGCATTCCACCGCACCATTCGCAGCCCCTCGGCCACCGCCTGGGCCGCCTCGTCGCCATGGCTGCCCACGGGCATGCCCACCGCCACCGCTGCTGCTGCTGCCGCCACCAGGACCACGATGAGGCGTGTTGTCGTCTGCATGTGTGTGCTTGCGGGGAGGGGAAGTGCGTGAAGTATGGGGAGGGGAGGGGGAGGGAGGGGGCTGGCCTGCGCGTGACTTTGGCGGGCGGTGGGAGGGGGGGGGGGGGGGGGGGGGAGGGCACGGCCCGACCACCGGCAGGCGACTGATGCCACTATGGACATGAAGCCGGATCGGCGGATGGCAGCCGGATGAGAGACAGAAGACAAGCGAGAGCCACATGGTTGCCATCAACTATTTATGCGCTACATGTACATGTACTCGGGGACACTCGATTCGCCCACGGCAGACACGCGCTCGCCGGCGTCGTCGAGATGAGCCATGCTGATGGCGCCCGCCCCACTTCCGGCTGCCGTGCACGCTGCGCGCCACGCTGCGTTGCGGATGTCGCCTCCGGCAAGCTCATACTTGGCGCCAAGCGCGGCAAAGTCGACATCGGCCGCCAGCGGCGCCGTCTCTGGCAGCGAGCTCCGCCACAACTGCGCACGCAGGCTCGCCGACGGCAGCTCAAACTTGACCACATACCGGATCCGCCGCAGGAACGCAGGATCGAGTGCCTCGATGTTGTTCGAGGTGAGGATGGCCATCCCGTCAAACTTCTCAAGGTGGTAAAGCAGCAGGCCCGTGTCAACGTTGGCGTACCGGTCTGTCGCGCTCGCCCCGGCCGTTCGCGCCGCAAACAGACCCTCGGCCTCGTCAAAGACCAGGATCGTCGACGCACTAGCTGCGTCGGAAAACACCTTTTCGATGTTCTTTGCCGTCTCGCCAACGTACTTGGACACCAGCTCAGCACAGTTGACCACCCGCAGCGCCCGCCCGGTCTCGTACCCGATTGCCGCGGCAGCCATCGTCTTGCCCGTTCCCGGCGGGCCGTGGAACAGCGCAACCGTCGCCGTCGCCGCCTCAAAGCCCCACTGCGTCGTCAGAATGCGCCCCGCCTTTTGCGCCGCAACAATCTCGCCCATCACCGCACTCGTCGCCTCCGGAAGTACCAGCGAGTCGAGCCCTGCTTTGGGCAGCACCCGCCGCTCAAACGCGTTCTGCCGTAGCATCGACTCGAGCTGTGCCTGCGCCCCAGCCTCAAAGTCCGCCGCCGTCAGCACAAGCTCGCCGTTTCCGTCGCTGCCACCCTCGGCCCGTGCCCGCGCCAGCGCATTCGATAGCGCACCCACAATCGCGTTCTTGATGAACCCACCTGGGAGCTCAAACTTGAGCGCCAGCGCGTCGACGTCAACATCGTTGGCGAGAGTCATGCCTTCCGGCACGTGCCGCCGCCAGATCGCCGCACGCAGGACGTGGTCCGGGAGCGAGAACGAGATTGAGAGCTGGACTCGCCGAAACGTGGCCTCGTCGAGCTCGTTCACCATGTTGGTCGCCAGAATCGACACGCCCTCGAACGACTCCATGAGTGTGAGGAGCGCGGGCAAGTTGGCGTTCTTGCCGCGCGCCCGCGTCATAAACAGCGACTCACACTCGTCAAACAGCACGATGGCGTCATGCATCTTGGCTTCCGCAAAGACCTGCTTCACCGCATCTGACGCCGAGCCCACGCTCGCCGTCGTCTCCGCCAGCGACGCAAAATTGACGAGCAGCACCTTGCGCTTCAGGTGCGCCGCCACACAGTTGGCCGTCAGCGTCTTGCCCGTCCCGCTCTGTCCATGGAACAGGAGCACCATGCCGCTCCCATACGTCACAAGCTCCTCCAGCCCCAACGAGGCCTTGAGCGCACAGAGTTGCTCGTACGAACCGAGCGTGTCCATCAGCGCCTTGCGCGTCTTGACCGGAAGGACCACGTCGTCAAACGTGACCTTGGGCGTGTACAGGTGCGTGCCCTCCACAACCTCTGACAACGGCGTCGCCAGCCCGATGATGTGGTCCAACACGCGCCGGTCGATCGAGACCTCGCAGTCCACAAGGTCAGACGCGCCGCGTGTAGACACCACGTTGATGTAGCCGTCCGCGCGCAGCGGCGCGTTCTTGAGAAACGCAGACCGCTGGCCGACCTGCTCCTCCAGCGTCGAGCAATAGAGCGAGAGCAGCGTCGAGACCTGGAACGCTCCTCCCATCAGCATCATCCGCGACGACCGGATGCTTGCGCTCCGCTCTCGGATCGGCTCGTATGTGTGGAACGCCGCGCACGCCACAAGCACAAACTTCTCAAAGGCAGAGAGCCCCGACGACCGCGCAAGCACCTCCAGCCGTGGCACAAAGCCCGCCGCCTCAGCCGCAGCCGCCCGAACCTGAATCTTCTGCTCCGCAACCTGTAACTTGGTCTCCAGCTCACGCGTCCTCGCCGCCAGCGAGCTCGTCGCCCCGCGCTGGAACATCCGCATCTCGTTGACGTCGTCCGCAGACCGCACCTGCCGCGCGTTGTCACACGCCTGCATCCGCAGGTACACCACTTCGAACTCGTCCACAAGATACTCGAGATCCGTCGTGTACGCCGCAAGACCGCCGTCGTCACCCTCGCCTCCCGCGCCCCTCGCGCCAGGGCTCGACATCGTAACTCCAGCATCCGCCAGCGCCTGCGCCACCAGCGCGTCCGGATCAAACCCGTCGTCACTGAGTCCGTCAAGCTCGGCAAGCAGCGCGGTCTCGTCGTCATCGGCGCCGCTGGACACACCACCCATCGCCCGTCCCGGATTACGTGTCAGCGCATCGTGCCCGGTCAGCTCGCCGAGTTTGGTCGATGCCAGCTTGAGCGAGGCGTCGGTCCCGAGCGTCACTCCATGGAGCGCGAGCAGGAACTCTGACGAGACCCAGAGCGTCGACGATGGCAGCCGCGACGCATCGACCTGGATGAGCCCATCCTTCATGTGCGCCCGCCCCGGATCGAGGAAAGTCGCAAGTGCCCGTGGACTCGCGCCCGCTAGCCGCATCGCAGCCTCGGCCTGGAGCACATACCCGCCCGAGTGATCGCCGTAGAACGCCGGCGCCCGGAAGCCGAGCTCCTCCACCGCCGACGTCATCGAGAGCACCATCACCGCCGCAAACATCGACGCCTCACGACAGTCCCAGCCGTATCCCTCAGCCAGCAGATGGAACAGCGGCTGCTCTTTCACGCCACCTGCACTCACTCCGTCGCCGTGGACCAGGCACCACCCGCCGCATCCGTCGCCCGAGGCCACCGGCAGATGCGCCCGCGCCACCTGCGCCCGCACCTCGTCCAGCGCCGCCGCCACAGCCATTGCTCCCTTGCTCTCTTCCGCCAGCGCCGCCATGCTCATACCACGCGCCCCCACCAGTCGCACCGCACTCGCTGCTGCCGTCCGCTGCGCCAGCGCCGCCAGAATTGTCGTCGTCTGCAGCGCCGCCATCGTCTCCTCGCTCCCGCCGCTCCCCACCTCGGCACCATTCACCGCCTCCAGCGACAGCGGCACCAGCGGCTGCGCCGTCGCCACCGCTATCTCCATGGCATCCATACTGCAACCCGCTGTCGTTCTCTCCCACTCTGCTATGTGCTTGTCACGTAGCCCGTTCTCAGCGAGAGAGAGAGAGAGAGAGAGAGAGAGAGAGAGAGAGAGAGAGAGAGAGAGAGAGAGAGAGAGAGAGAGAGAGAGAGAGAGAGAGAGAGAGTAGTGGTACCAGCCAGCAGCTAGCACCGCCGAACAGAGCTTCCCTCCGACCCCCCTCGCTCGCACATGCGTCTATTTCCGCTACCTTAGAGCAGCCCGAACAGCCTGCCATTCGAGGCGGGCAGCGGCAAGGACGGGATGCGCGCCTGGCCGCGACGACGGCGCAAAGAGCGCGTCCGCGGTTTTGACGGCTACAGAGAGCCATTGCTTGCACGGCCGATAACGCGACGATACTTTGCGCCACGCCACAATCACCCCGAGCGCTTCGGCCACCAGCGACGTGGCGCGCGTGAGGAATGACGGCGCGGCGGCCGCCGCATGTCCGCGCTCACTTCGCAGCAGCATGACCGGGCGGACCGGGCCACGTCCGCCTGCAGGATCCACGCCCTCGCGCTGCGGCAGCGACGCCAGCGACTCTGCCTCTAGCGCCGCCATGTCGCCCAGGATCTCGTCGGTCACCGTGGTGTGCAGGACGGCCAGGACCTGGTCCAGCGTCTTGTCGCCGACATCAAACAGCACCCGGCTCACCACCTCGGCTGCCGCTGCGAGCACAGGTGTGAGGACTGACAGTGTCGGCCCGCTCAGCGTCTTGATCATTGCCTTGACCACCGCCAGCGTCGCCGGCAGGACGCGGACATAGAGCGAGGCGCACGGCCGATGCCGCGCCCCGGCCAGCAGCGGGCCTACTACCCGCGCCGCACATGACGCCACAAACCCAGGTGCTGTCCGCGGATTGGCGACAATCACTTCGGCCATCCATAGTTGCAGCCGTCGCATCCGCGACGTCGACACGTTCCGCCCGCTCCAGTGCCTGCCCACTACAAAGTCGACTAGCGCGTTGTTGAACGTGTCCAGCTCGGACCCGCCTCTCGCACTCGCCGCAGCCACGGCCGGGAGCAAGTAGCTGTCGGCCTGGGCCGCCGCCCGTTCTGACGGCAGCACATCAAACTGCCGCGCCGTCCACTCGTGCAGCGCTCGGCTCGCATGCGCCGCGCCAGCGCCAATCAGCTTGCCAATCCCACCCATCACCGCCGCCATCAGCTTGCCACGCCCGCTCGAGATCTCGAGTCCAGAGCCCACAATGACAAACCGGTGGAGGAGGACGTACAACGGGGTCTTGTGCCACAACTCACCGTCCGCAAGCGCCAGTGGCGCTTGCTCCGCCAGCATCGCCATCACCTCCAGCGCAAAACCCTCGTACGCCCGAGCCACGGGCCCGGGTGTCGTCCCGCGGCTGCAGAGCTCGCTCAACGCCCGCGCGCAAACATCGGGCACCATCGCGAGGCACTCACCCGGCGAGCTGGCTCCCGCCACTACGCTGCTCACCACGGCCTTCACAAGCTGCAGCCGCGGCAATGTCCACGCAGCAGGCTCGGCCTGCCATGGCAGGACCACCGTCGCGGGATCGATGGCCACGACAGCGTCCTCGTCTGCATGCTCCAGCTCACCGGCGCCGGCAAAGGAGAACTTGGCCCAGAGCTCAGCAGCCTTTGCACGGCCGCCCATCAACGCTGCGGTCGATGGCAGTGACGCGAGCGTGTGAAACAGCCGCGGCAAGTCGACCGCAAACGGATCGACAGCCGCAAGAAGCAGCGCGTGTATGAGTTCCGTCGCTATCGGGCTGACCAGTGAAGCAGGCGTCCGTGCCCCGTGGTGGAGGAACGCGGTCCAGAACCCTACCGGGACAAGTCGCGCCAGCGCGTCGCCATCTCGGACCAGCCAAGGTGACTGGGTGCCAAGAGAACTCACGACCGCACTCACCGCCGACCGCCCGTCGCGGGACACGGCTTCTGAGAGCACGCCCATCAGACGGGTCACCGCCCGTAGCGCCGCCGTTGCCACCAGAAACGACTGCACCGAGTGAACGTGCGCCACCGTCGACTTGGCGCACAACTCTGCATACACTGCCATGAGCAGATCGCGCGCGGAGATCCGCAGCAGGGTCACCTCCGCCTGGTCCAGCAGCGCCGTCGCAGTCGACGCTGACTCTTGCTCTGCCACGTGCGCGTTGACCAGTGCATCAACATCATCAAAGTCCCCCATGTCAAACGAGAGTGACGCCGACGCCGACGCCGACGACATCTGTGACTCGGGAAACAAATCCTGGCTCTCATTGTCCGCCGGACACTGGCTGCCCGCTTCGACCTCGCTACCGCCGCCATCACGCCCAACATCATGCGAGGCCGGCGGTCGCGGGAGCGGCGGCGGCACAAGACTCACCATGTGAATGAGGAACGTGATGGCCGGAACCCAAAGGTCCGCCGGCGCCGACGGCGCGAGCAAGCCGACAATATGCGGCGACATGAGCAGGTGCTCTCCAAGGAGCGTGACTGGATCACGGCGCGCCGCGGTGTCGATCAGACTCGCAGCTGCCTGCAAGTAGCCCGTGACTATTGGAACTGGCGCTCCAGCGCCAATCACTGCCTCCAACCGGTCGGCAATGGCAGGCATGACCGGCTCGAGCCGCATGCCCCGGCTCTGCAGCACCCGTCCAAAAACAACCAGCGCTGAGAGCGCGAGCCCGTGCGCCGAGTTGGATGCCGATGCCGGCGAGATGAGCGCCGAGACTCGCGAAAGGATCGAGTTGACCGTCTCGCACGGCACCGCCGATGCCAGCACCACAGCCAGCGACAGCTGAGCCGCCGCCATCGCCTGGTCCAGACCGGTCGCCAGCTCGAGGTTGGCATCGAGCCCGACAATGATCGTCGATGCAAGGCGTTTGGCGTCCCACTCGGAGAGCTCGTGCCGCGGGTGGGTGTCTGCTGCAAACGGCGACGACAGCGCGCACGCCATCAGATGGAGGAGTCGTCCGATAGGCGCCTCGCGCGCCTCGCCCGCAATCGACAACCCGCTACCGGCCACGCACACCGAAAGCGTCGGCGGGCCGAGGGTGAGCCACGCCGAGCTCGGTGCAGCCCGAAAGGCCTCCCACACCGAGGTGAGAAAGTCTGACGGCGGCGGGTCCCACTTCCCCACCGGCGCCACCAGCGCTTCGACCCACGCCAGCATCTCGTCAAGCGCGCGCGGCCCGAGCGAGTCCAACCGGTTCGCGATGTGCGGAACAAGCAGCCGCCACGGATGCACCAGCTTTGGCAGCAGAGGCTGGATCCACCCAAGCAGCTCGAGCGACGACAGCAGCGGCCCGCTATGAGGGCCGGTCACCGCATCAAGCGGCGCTGGCGACGCTGCAAACGCCGCTGCTGCAAGCCCGGACAGCGGATGCTGGAGAATCGGCATGCCCGACGGCAGCGCCGCACGAAGCGGGACAAGAATCGCCGGTAGTGCAGTGTCCATCACAAACGTCACGTCGCCCGCCAGTGTCTCAATCGCGGTGCCCCACACCAATATGGCCGCAACGTGCGGGAGCGAGACAGGCGTTGGCCAGTGGACAGGCAGCGGCACCGTGTCAAGCAGATGCTGGACTGCCGCCAGCCGCGACGGCACCGGCAGCCGCCCGAGAGCCGCACCGAGCGACGGCAACACCACATCGCGAAGGTGTAGCACAAGCCCAATTTGGACCGCGCGCGATGACGGCGGCGAGCTATGGAAGAGCGCAACTACGTCAGCCCGCGCAAGCTGGCGGAGCACTGCAAGCGGCGCCCGCAGTGGCGCCGCTAGCAACGTAGCCGGCACTGGCCGCCACGGCCGGAACGGGTCCGCACCCGAGATCGAGAGTGCGGCTGGGAGAACCGCAGCCACCAATGGTGCGGGAGCTGGGTGACTGGTTTTGCGCCGCTTCTCGCCGCCATTTGGTGACCGACGAGACTTGCGCTTGCGCCTCCGCCCAGCTCCCAGCGGCGACGAGTCCGCTTCGGATGAGCGTAGCAAGTTGCGCTGTTGCCCGCGAGAGGGCTCGGGAGATGACGAGAGTATGACAAGCCGACGGGGCGGAGTGATGCGTCGAGGAGGCGACGACAGTGTCGGCGAAGGACGCGAGAGCGTGGTCACAGCTCCTACCCCCGATTCCGAGTCGGAGCCCGACGACGACGTCGAGATTGTCAAGCCCGAGATCCGCTCCGGCGGCGGCGAGACATGCAAGGGCGACGCAGTGCGGCGCTGGGGTGCAGGCGCATGTGACATGTCCATGGCGACGACATCAGTTGCCGCCGCCTTGGTGCTCGCCGCTCGCGGCGATCGCTTACCCGAGCCAGGAGGCAGAGTTTGCTCCAGCACATGCGGAAGCGACGCCGGAACCGGAATGAGGTCCAGCTCGCTCGAGACATCGACGCGCTTGACGAGTGCAGAAGGTGCGCTCGCGGTCCGCCTCAGCAGCGACTCGTCCTCGGCAGAGCCGGACGACGACTGCTCGCCGCCGATCTGCGATGAGCCAAAGCCGGGACGCCGCCGCAGCAGCGCAACCGCAGCCAACTGCTGGCGCTTCGGCAGCTGCGAGAGTAGCTCGTGGCACTGCTGCTTCGCCGAGGCTCCGTGCGTGGGCGACGCCGACGACGAGCAGGCTTCGCCACCGGCACCCGAGTCCGAGACCGGCGACGCCGCAGCAACCGCAAAGACGACCTCGTGCGGCCGCGGTGCGGTCTTGTGAGCGAACCTTGCGACTGTAGCAGACGTAGTCCCATCCCCCGACGATGATGAAGCAGAATAAGAGGCCGGTACAAAGCCATGCGCCACTGCAGTCGCCATGGCAGCGTGGCGTGGTCGGTGTCGGTGGCTCGAGACTCACGAATCTACGACCCTTTTGGGCCACCGAGCGGGGGGGGGGGGTGGGGGTGGAGGCAGGGAGTGGAGGGAGCGCCAGTGGAACGACAGGGATGGGTCGTGGTGCTCTGCGTCGCGCGCGCAGAGTGTACACACCGGTGCTCGCGGGTGGTGTACGACGAGAGTCGGGGTCGAGTGTAGGCCGGCGCCCAGCGTGCGGTGGCAACATGTTATTGAGCGTCAAAGAAGGCGGCAATGGCGAGCTGGACGTTGAAGCGTGAGGCGGCAAGGAGGTCAGCGGCCTGGGCGGCATCGACGCCGGTGACTTCCATTACCAAGTCCACGTCGTGGCCCACGATCTCGGCGGCAGCCTGCTCGGGTGCAATGGCCACAAAGCCCTCCGAGTCGGATGATGACGAGTCACGGCGCCATCGCTGACGAGCGATGAAAGGCTCCCGGGGCGCGTCCATCGCGTCCATCAACGCCTGAAGGTCGGCCTGGATAGCGAGAATGTCCTCGACGCCGTTGATTGGGTCCGGAACGTGAACCGGCGGCGGAACAGACGACCCAGCCGGCGGGTGGCACGACGGACAACGGTCGTCACCGGGACAGAGCGCGCACGGCGCCCCGGGCCGACACACCGGGCACGCCACGCAGTCGCACCGCTCATCACAGAACAGGCCGTGGTCTTCGCGGCCGCACGGGTGCGGCTGTAGACACACGATGCAAAACGAGTAGCCGCAGCATGCGCCGGCCGAGCCGCCAACATGGTGGCACGAGTGCCCGCGCGGCCGCGAGATGAGCGCGCCGCACCGCGGGCAAGGCTTTGACGTCGCGCCCAGCAGCGCGAGCGTCGCTGCGTCTCGGCCGGTCGCCTCGTCGGCAGCAATCGAGTCGCACGAGCGCCCGGCATGCCGGAACCATGGCACCGAGCAGTTGCAACACCAATCGGTGGCACACCCCGGACACACTACTCTGCTCGACCGCTGAAGCTGGCGCTGCGACTTGCCGGAGAGATCCGGCTTGATGCACATCAGCTCGCATCCGGGACAGAACGTAGTCTCACCCTTGGGAACCGCGCCGAGCAGCGACTGGACCACCCACCGCGAGCCGGTCTCGGCATCAACCACTCCCCGAGCCACAAGATGCTCGATGACGTGGGCCGGCACGCGCGCCCGCGGGGACATCGAGTCTTGGGCTCGGCAACCCGGGCACATTGCTGGAAACTGCCCACGCTCGATCATGTCGCGTACCGCACTCTGCGCGCAGCCGGCGCAGTATCCGTGCTCACAAAAGCCAACGGTAAACGCTACGCTGACGTTGTCACCAAAGCAAATGCCGCACTCGGGCAGCGTCCGCACCCCACAACCAGACGCACCTGACTCGCCCGAGTCGTCCGAGCTCACAGAGCCGGCCAGCTGGATCGAGCCCACGCCTGCGCCCACCAACAGCGGCGGAGGTAGCTCTCGAGCGAGCCGCGGTCGTGATGGGTCGACATCCAGCGCACCGTATCCGCGCACCGGTACGACGTCGACTCGGACCTTGGGAATCAACCGCTGTTTCTCCTCAGCCGCCAGTAGCGCCGCCGCACGTGCGTGCTCACCAGCACGCAGACGCCGGACGAGCAGCCGCCACACGCCGGGCCAGCCAAACGCCATCAGCGCCACGAGCGCGAAAAGCCCAGCAGTACAGCTCGCAACAATGCGCGGCGTGGCATCATCGCCCGCCACACACACACCACGCTTGCACCTACTGCCAAACCCGCAGCCGGTGCGCTCGCCAAAGCAACTTGTCGCACACTTGCGCGTCCGGGTATCACACACATAGCTACCGCAGCCGGCGTCAAACGGCATCGGCCCACAACTCTTGCCGTCGACCGAGAGCGACGACGGAAGTTCCACAAATGACTTGTCGACTCTCACGTCCATTACCAGCGGGATCGTCACAAAGGCGAGGACAAGGCCTGCAACGCCAAACGACAACGCGCCCGCGAGCACCACCGCCGATCGTCGCATCCCGTACAAATTGCTATGTCGCCAAGAGCACCGCGCGCAGAGGCAGAACCCTACCATGAAGGCCACAAGCAACCCGAGCCCGATGGCTGTCAAACTCGCGGCTGTCACCCCAAACGACAGCGGCGCCGACGCAGGTGCGAGCACACATCTCCCTTCGTGGGAACAGTACGGCGCAACGTGCATGCCGGATGGGAGCTGTGAAGTGAGCCGCTTGTCCATGGCGCCGCGGCACTCATGCGACGATGAGCATGAAATCGCACACGTCCTGTTGTGAACGCGGCAGTAGTATGGCCAGCAGTTCGGCGAGGAGAGGCCGACACAGCTTGTGAGTGCAACCGGCAGCGTTGTTTCCGGTGGCCGTGTCAGCCGCACCCGAAGACGTACGAGCGAGAGTGGAAGTGCCACAATGAGGCCGGCGCCAACAGCCACCAGAGCGACGACCGCAAACAACTGCACCACGTCGTTGGAAGATGCCCAGGGCACAAGCACCCCCGGCAAGCACGCACACACCACCATGACCGCCGTCACCACCCCAAGCACCACCACCGCCGCCAGCCATCGCCGGAGCACGAGCCGGCTGGCGTGATGGGTTGTAGCAACACACTTGCCGGACGCGGCATCGCACGCCAGCCCCGCCCCGGCGCACTCAAAGTCGTGCCGGCACGAGCGCCGGCACCGCCCACTCGGCATGTCGCACCAGTACGGTGCACAGACCGGCGCGTCAACGGCGGCACAGGCAGGCGAACTCGCGCGCTCCGCAGCCGTCAGTGGCGGCTCGAGCGCAGGCACCGGCACTCGGAGAACGAGCATGGCGATGCCGACGACAGCAAAGCCGACAATGGCACCACATGTCGCAGACGCGAGCCACGAGTTACAGAGCCAGATCGGCCGCCATCGCCGCCGCCACCGCGATCGATACGAGTAAGGCGAGCAGCACTTGTTGCTACACCACCCGGCACCCACGCCTAAGACCACCACTAGCAACCCGAGGCCAATTGCCGCGGAGAGCGAGCTCACCCAAAACACGAGAGGCGAGTACCGCCGGACAGAGAGGCCGGCGCCGCCAGTCCAAACGCAAACACCGGCGGCCGAGCAGCCATAGCCGGTCACACACTGATCTGAGGAAGAGCAGCGGGTCCGGCATGCGCGGCTCCCATAGTCGCACGTGTACGGATAGCAGGCGTGCGGGCCAGCGCAAGACGTCCCGTTGCCTGCAATGCCATCAAAGTTCACAGTCACAAGGTGGCTGGCCATGTTCAGCCCGACCGAGAGCGCAAAAATGAACGCCAGAACCACACTCACCATCGATGACATGACGCAGATGACCGGGCGTAGGTGGACCGGAAACAAAAACGAAGCGACCGAGAAGCAGCAAGGCGTGCCGATAAGAAAGGTGCCAAGCGCGACTGCCAGCGCCACGCCCCACAGTGTCGCCTGCGAGTGGGCTGGCTTGTGAATGCCTGGTACCGATCGGGCCCATGTTGCAATGACGCAAGTCCCACCACGACAAGCAGCGCCAGGCGAGCACTGAGAGCTTGCAGTGCAGCGTGTACCACAGAGTCCGGCGCGGGTGTTGCAGAGGAACGGCTCGCAAACCGGATCATCGAGCGCCCCGCACGGTCGACGGTCGCCGGCGCTAGCAGGCGAGACCGCCGGCAGGCTCGACGCCCGCGAGCTGAGCCCGATCGAGCAGCCGATGACAACGGCAGATATCGGGACGGCTACAACACCGACCAGCACTGCTGCCCAAAAGTTGTCCGATGTGCCGATTCGCGAGGCCATGAGCCGCGGCGAGCCCCACCTTACCGGGCGGGCGGTGGTGTGGCGGGCAGCCGAGGCCGGCGGGACCGCGCCAGCTGCTGCAGCGACGCCGCACACCACAATGGCGAAGCCAATGGGCACAAAGACCACCATCAGCGCCAGCGGTGTCCGCGCCATTAGTGGCTGCGGCGACGGGATGCCCGGAAGGAGCGACGCGCACGTGCTAGACGCCTCGAGGCACGTTGAATGCGGCGGACAGGCGGGGGGAGAGTGGCACCCTCTGGCGACGGCAATGAACGGGGCGGGCTGAGCAGCACCTGTAGCAGCGCATGGATCCGCGGAGACATACACCACAGAGAGAACAACGAGTGCCTTCAGTATGGCATCTCTCATCATCCCCATGCGCCCGCCAAGGCCGATAGAAGCCGTGCGCGCGAGTCCTGGTCGCCGAGCGAGGTGTGTCACACACGAGCGTGTCATGGAACACTCGTTCTTGCATGGCGTGGTCGTCGATTGACTTTCCGTCGGCCGGTGGACAGCGGCCTCCGGCCACCACTCGGCAGACGGCAAGCGCCCCCCTCGCCGACTCCATCCCACCCAGCGGGGTTACGCGTCGAGTACACGAGGCACGCAGGCGCTGGCGAGCGAGCGCATTGGTCACCACCCCACCTCCCAAAGTACTCACCTCCCCTTCACCCTCGTATACATACAACATGCTGCGTGGGCTGCAGTCTTGGAGCATGCTGACGCGGACGCGGGGCTTTGCGGCGGCGGCCGGAGCGGCCGGCTCGCTGACCGAGCTCGAGCAGGCTGCGCTCTACCGCAAGATGGCGGTAGCGGTGGTGACGGGCGGGCGGAGCGAGCTGGAGACGCTGGTCAAGGGCGCCATGGCGGACGACGTGCCGCTCAGGGGCCCGCTGGCCGAGGCGGCGCTCAAGGCCGCCATGTTTGTCCCGCAGGGCACCCTGCTCGAGGCCGAGGCCGACCTCGACCTCGTCCAGCACGGCGCCCACCACGCCATCCGGCCCAAGCCGCGGGCCAAGCGGCAGAGGGCTCTGTTTGGGACGGTCAAGTCGGCGGTCGCCTCGGTGCTGGAGGGCCTCGATCGTGGGTATGTCAAGCGCCTGAACCTGGTAGGCGTAGGCTATCGCGCCTGGCTCGGCAAGCCGTCCGAGGGCAAGGCCCTTGTCGACGACGGCTCGGTCCGGGCCCCGGTTGCAGCGCCCGACGACGATGTCCTCTGGCTCAAGCTCGGGTACTCGCATGATGTCGAGGTGCCCATTCCCGACGGACTCGCTGTCAAGGTCATCAAGGACACCACCATTGTTGTCGAGGGCATCCACAAGCAGCAGGTCGGCGAGTTTGCCGCCCAACTCCGCCGCCATCGCAAGCCCGATGCGTACAAGGGCAAGGGCGTCCGCTACGACGGCGAGGTTCTCACCCTTAAGCAGGGCAAGCGCAATTGATGCCGCTCGCGTCCTTGCTTCCGCCGGCTGGCAGCGTGCCTCACCAGCTCGCTTTTCAGTAAAATCCTCAGCAACCGCTACGATGCGGTCGTCTTTACCTTGCCGAGGCTCGGAAGGCCCTCCATGACCCGGCGGAACATTCGCTTGCCATTGACGAGGTTTGTGACCCGGAGTCGCTCGTTCGCGAGATGGCCATTATCCGACGCCTGGCCCATCGGGATGTGCAGCGCTGGCGCACCCAGCGTCTCCTCGAGGTACGGCACGACCGGAATGGAGCCGCCTTCGCGGACAAAGAGCGGCGGAGCGCCCCAGACCTCCTCCACCGCTTCTGCTGCGAGGCCGTAGAGCGGCGACTCGGCATCCGCCGACCACCACTTTCCGGCCTGTACCACCTTGACGGCCACACTGTTGGTCGAGTTCAACTCGCCAAAGACCGCGTCGACGTGGGCCTGCAGCCGCGCAATCATAGTGTCGATGCTCTGGTCCGGCACAATCCGCATCGAGACCTTGGCCGTCGCCCGTCGCGGAATGACCGACGACGCGCCCGAACCGGTAAACGAGCCCTGGACGTCGTGGACCGAGAGCGACGGCAGGAGCCACCGCCGCTGGAGCACAGACTCGGTGTTGGCGTCGCGGTCCCCGGGCGCCACGCCAATCTCGTCCAGGTAGCGGTCGAGGTCAAAGTCGTGGACGTTGAGGTCAAGCGCGGTCTCGGTCACGTCGACGTAAAAGCCGGGTACCGCCACTCGTGTGTTGCCGTCCTCAAACAAGCCGTCCAGGACGTGGACAAGGTCGACCAGCGGCTCGCGGACCGCTCCGCCGTCGACGCCCGAGTGCAGATCGCGCGGCGGGCCAGTGACGGTCAGCGCAACGTGGATGACCCCGCGCATGCCGAGGGTGAGGCACGGCGCCTGGTCGCCAACCCAGTACGTGTTTGAGAGGAGGACGTAGTCGACGCCACCCAGGAGCTCGCTGTTGGCCTCGATTGCCTCGCGGAGACCGGCCGAGCCTGACTCCTCTTCGCCCTCGACCACAAAGACGACGTTGATTGGCAGTGAGCCGCACTTGGCGTGAGCCACCAGCTCGCCCACAGCCGCGAGAAAGGCCACAATGGGCCCCTTGTCGTCTGACGCTCCGCGCCCGTACAGATACCCGTCGCGCGGGGTGAGCGTCCACGGGTCGCTCTCCCACCCGTTGTCGGGCGATGCCGGCTGCACGTCGTAGTGTCCGTAAAAGGCGAGCGTCGGCTTGGACGGGTCGGCCCCGATCCGCCCCAGCACAATCGGATTTCGTCGCGGCGAGGTCGGGTTTGGCACAATGCGGACGTCCGCTCCGAGTGCAAGCAGCGCGTCTGACATGTGCCGCGCCGCCGCTAGGCATGCCGATGCACGTGCTGGGGAGCCCGAGACCGATGCGTGGGCCACAAACTCGCCAAGCATCGCAATGAGCGCCTCGGTCGTGACAACCTCGCTTGCGCCGAGCTGGTCGAGCAGCGGCGCACATGAGCTGGCGGCGGGGCTCTCGACCAGCGATACCGCCCCAGTATGTCGCACGAGGTCATACACGGCACATCGTGCGTTGGCAGCGCCGATCCACAACGTCGAGCCGAGCATGAGTCCATAGAGTGGTTCGTGCGGGACGTGGACAAGTCGCAGACAGGCGAGCGAGCCGAGGCTCCAAACGCAAACATCTCCGCCACTTCCGATCGAGACCAGGTTGTCGGCGCACTTGGCGAACGCCACCACTGCCGACGAGTGCCGCGAGAGGACCCGGAGGCAAAACGGCGGACCAGGAAATGTCAGATCCCAGACCCGAATAGTGGTGTCAGATGCGCCTGAAAAGAGCCGACGGCCAGGTTCAAGCACCATGGCCAGCACCGATGACGCATGGCCCTCGAGCAGTGCTTCGCGATGCTGCAGCGCCGGCGACGTCCAGACCGAGATGGAACCTGTGGCAGTACCCGAGTACAGCCTCGCAGCGCCTGCATCGTACGCCATGCATAGTACGCTCCCGCGGTGCATCGAGTTGGCGGTGGCATGAACTGGCCGCTCACACGGAGTGCACACAGATGCAGAGCAAGTTGCACTCTCACTGGCCGCGGCGGCGTACGGTGAAGGTGCCGGAGGCGGGTGGAGCCGCAACGGCTGGCGAATGAGTGGAATCGGATTGTCTGCCGCCGCCACTGCATCCATTGACACCGGGATGGGGCTCTCTTCGCTCAACGCAGCCAGGAGATCGTCAAGGACAAGTGAGCGGATGAATCCATCGTGCATGCCGACGTAGAGGAGGCCGGCGTCCGGGGCGACGGCGAGTGAGATGACGCTCCCGGATCGCGAGTTAAAGAGCCCCAAGCAGGCATGCGGAGGCGAAGCTTGCCACACACGAATGTATGTGTCGGCCGAGCCACTCAGCAGCAGATCCGAGTCTTGGAGAAAGAGCAGCGAAGTGACGGCGCGGACGTGGCCCGTCAGCGTGACAGCCAGCTGATACGAGCTTGTGTCAAAGATGCGGATGTCGCCGTTTGAGAGACCAGCGGCGACAGCAGCTTTGTCGGCAAGCTCGGCGAGTACCATACATGTTGTATGTTGCGGGAGGGTAAAGCCGGCGAGTGGGTCGAGTGGATCGACGACGGCGGCGCCGCTCACTCCGAGACCCACCGGCGAGCCGAGCAGAGCGGGCGGGAAGGCAAAGGAGCCGGCGGCAGCAGAGAGTGGCGAGGTCGGTGGAGTGGCATCGATCCAGTTGTGCGACTCGGAAAAGATGCGGGTGGAGCCGGAGCGGGAAGGACCCTGTGCGTGGGGACGGCCGTCGCGTCGAGCATCGGCAGGCACCAGACGTCGATCTGCGAGGTGACGACCATGGCTGTGTTCTGCGGAACTGCCAGCCAGTCGTCCGAGTCCCACAGCGGCTCCGAGGCAATGACAACCAGCGACGGCGTCTTGTTCTCGGTCACCATGGTGCAGTCGGTGAGCGCATCACCGGGCTTGGCGTCTGGCGCAGGGACAGAGGCAATGCGCGAACCAGTGGCAAAGTAGAGCGAGACCGACGGGTCCGAGTCAGACATGACCCCGTTGCGCGAGACATAGCGAGTGGCGACCGAGGTTGTTCCGTCCGAGATGGCGATGTTGAGGTAAGAGACAAAGTCTACGCCACGGTCTGCGGCAGCCTCGGCCTCCCATGCATTCAGCTGGGCCACCGTCTCGTAGAGGGCGGCAAGTAAGTCGGCCGGGACCAGATCGAGGTGATCAAAGTCTGTGCCCTGCGGAAAGGTGTTGAGGAAGAGGGCAAAGATGTGCTCCGAGTCTGTGGATCCGAGGATGCCGCCGTAGATATCGTCCCTGAGCGAAGCAAGCAGCTTGCGCTTGACACCTGCGGAAAATGCACCCACGGATCCGTTGTGCATGAAGAGGAGCTTGCCAGCGGCAAACGGATGGCAGTTGGCCTCGGAGAGCGAGCCCGTGGTTGCCGAGCGGACATGGGTCATGAACATGCGCGATCGGGTGGCCTTGGCGAGGCGATGCAAGTTGGCGTTGTTGTGGGCCGGTGACATGGAGGTGAACACACACGGCAACTGGTCATCTTCGTGGAGCGAGTACCATCCGAGCCCACAGCCATCGAGATGGACGGCAAAGCCCGTGACCAGCTGGGCCGACCACAGCGTCTGCCGACAGAGCGAGTGCCGTGGCTGGGTCACCACCTCGGCCACTGTCAACGGGTCCACGCCCACATATAGCAGGAACCGGCACATGTTGACGTCGTGTATGTATGTATGTATGTATGTGTGTGTGTGTGTGTGTGTGTGTGTGTGTGCAAGGGGGGAGGGGGTGGGGGGAGGGGGAGAGCGGTGCCTGCCTTATCTGTGTTCCATTGGCTGGTCATTTCGCGTGCGGCGGTACCCGTCGCCTACACTGCTACCACGGCGATCATGTTCATCGCTTGCGGAGCGGGGGCTCGGTATCGATGCCGAGTCCGGTCTCGTCACCGGGTTCTTCGTTCAGCGGCTCGAGCGAGTGGGCAGGATGTGCACGCTTGACGGCACCGGTGGCAGTTGGGCGCGGAAGGCGGGGTCGGTGGCGGCGCGGGGCCCTGGAGGTTCCTGGCGACGATGACAGCGGCGCGCTGGATGAGGACGACCCGGCAGCGCGGGTCGGCGAGTCGGACACACCCTCTGCCTCCAGATCCTCGGTGATGGGTGCGAGGTCAGTGAACGACGCCGACTCAAACTGGAACTTGGATGGCATAGGCGAGCGGAGGATCGAGTGCTTGCGCCGGCGGAAACGTGGATCGGTCTGCGGCTTGGCGACGCCGACGGCACCGAGACTGGGAGGCTTGGCGGTGTAGAGAGCATCCCACGCAACCGAGGCAAAAAACGGCAGTTGAGCAAGCTCATCCGTATCAGCCTTGCCGTTGAGGAGGAAACAGATGGCGTCGCGGGCTTCGGGCTCGAGGCTGGCTGCAGCGCCGTGGCCAAACAGCGGGTCGTCAGCGGCAAACGAGACGGCGGCTGTCGAGGTGATTACGCCGGCGTCGTCAGGAAGCCGGCCCACCAACAGCTGATAGAGCACAAGGCCAAGCGCGTACGCGTCCGAGGCAGGCGATGGCGGCTCGGAGCCGGTCAGCACCGCCGGTGGGAGGTACTCGAGCGTCATGCCCCACATGCCGGCCTCAAACGACTCGCCAGCGGCGGCAAGGCGGGTGGCAAAGTCAGCGGCCGGCGCGGCCGAGCCAAAGTCGCAGAGCTTGACTCGACCATCATCGGTGATGAGTACGTTTTCCGGCTTGAGGTCGCCGTAGACAAGCCCGAGCGAGTGCAGATGCAAGAGCACGTCAGCGAGGACAGCCACCACATACGCCGCCGACCCCGGCGCAAACGAGCCGAGCTTGACCAGCGCCGAAAACACGTCGCCGCCGCCGCAGTACTCGGTCACAATGTACGCCCGGTCCGACGTGTCTGTGAACGATGCCACCAAGTTGGCGATGCCTGGGTGGGCCACCGAACGCAGAACGGCAGCCTCTTGCGCGGCGAGCTCGGACCACTTGGCCTCGCCGCGGGTGTCGACCATCTTGACCGCATACGGAATCCACTCCGAGAACGACTTGCCCTGCTCGACGTGCTTGGCATAGCGGACAACCGAGAACGGGCCCTCGCCGAGGACCTGCCCAAAGACAAAGTCAAAGTACGTGAGCTCCTCGCGGAACGATGAGAGCTCAATGGGCACGAGCGACGCGCGCGACGCGGCCGAGAGCACACCGGAGCTCGAGCTTGCGACGGCACTTGTCGACGCCGCCTGACGGGGTGGCGCAAGAGCCGCAAGCAGCGACGGGTAGTCGGGCGTGGCCACCGGTGCAAAGCGCTCCACCAGCGCCTCGGTGTCGACCGGCGACTGGCCGTGGAGTATCTCTAGGATCGAGCCGCCCATCCGCTTCACCGACGGGTTCCAGTGCTCGGCAATCGGACCACAGATGAGCGGAACAACAAGCGGGACGACCCGTGCAGTGTGCCTCCCGACATGGCTCCGAAACGCGTCGTTCTCCCACAGTTGCAGCGCGCGCTGAGCAATGCGAGCCGCAAGCGAGCCAATGCAGCTGCTGAGCTTGGCCAGGACTGGCGCGACCACAAGCGCAAAACCAAGCTCGTCGAGAGCTTCGATGAGTGACTCGAGCTCGTGGATGAGAAGGACGACTTTGGCCGAGTTGGCGTTGCGCGCCGACGGCCAGATCCGTTCAGCTGGTGCAAACTTGGTCTCGGGTGGCGCACCTGCGCTAGCCCGCGGCCGCCCACACACGGCGGCCACCGCTGCAGGCCCGTACTTGCCCGGGTCGCGGCCAATGAGCTGGAGGAGCGCAAAGACAAGCTGTGGGTGGTAGACCGAGATGAGCGCGTCCGAGTCGGAGCCCATCTCGTCCGGAAGGTGCAGCGACATGAGCATGCCGTAGAGGGCAGGCAGCTTGGGCGACGACGGCGTTAGGCCGCGAATGATGGCAGCAAAGACCTCCAAGAGTGCAGCAACGCCAAACGGCGAGCCGCTCTCGGGCGCGCCCACATACCGGCGCACGCCGCGGATCGCGGCCGACACAGCGTGGCTGCGCAAGCCGGGCACCTTCTCGTAGATGGTGTAAACCAGCCACCGGAGCGAGGACAGTCCGACTTTCGGATCCTTGGCCAGTAGCCGAGCCACCAGCCCAGCGAGGAGCTCGTGCGAGGCCGCCAGCGCAAAGTGGTCCCACTCAAACTCGGGCGTGGCCATCAGCGCCTCGCACACCCTCGCCGCCCCGCCAATTGAGGCTGCCAGGAAGCATCGATCCGAGAGAACACCACGTGCAAGACTGACATCAAGCAGTTCCGCGAGGCCGGCGTATACGCCTGACGAGTACGGTGATGCATCGCGCAGCGAGCGATCGTCAGCTGCGGCGACGAGCGTCTCCAGCGCCGGCATGGCCAACTCGGACTGGGACGGCTCCCGCGCTGGTGACGGATGCGACGGTTTCATCGGCATCCGTCCAGGTGCAACACCTGCTGTGGCTTGCGGCATACGGGCGAACGGAGCGACCGTAGTCATGCCGCGGGTGGCCGAGACCACCACATGGCGCGGCTTGCGCGGACCAGACGACGACGCCGGCGCCAACGAGGAGGAGGAGGCTGGACTGGCGTAGCGACGAAAGGCCGCCGCCGCCGTGCGGAGTGTCTGAGCGAGGTCCATGCCGGGTGGAGGGGAGGGGGGTGAGTGGGGTGGTGGTGATGGTGGTGGTGGTGATGGTGGTGATGGAGGGTGTGGGTGCGGGTCACGGTGAGGCCTGGGACGGGGTCATGGCCAGGACAAGGGAGGGGGGGGGGACGGGGGACAAGTCGACCGGCACCTTGGGTCAGCCATGATCTGGTGGAGGCATTTTGCCAGTACTGTTCGGCGGGATGTACCTGTTCAGTTGATCTGGGCTGTTCTGCACTGATCATGGCTGTGACCACTTCTCGATGGCATTGGCTGTTCTGTGGTTGGTACCTCGGCAGGTACGGGTGTGGTGGTGGCCATTGCTCTCTCGATTGCGACTGACCATGTCGTCGCGACGGGCGCGGACGACGGATTCGGCGAGGTCAAGTCGCAAGCAGCAGAAGCGGCTCGACGGGAGACGGGCAAGGGCAAGGGCAAGGGCTGGCAGGCTGGCGGGTGGTGTTCTCGCAAACCTGTCCCGAGAGTGAGCGGGTGGTGCTGGCGGCCGAGCTGGCGAGCGTTGGCGCCAAGGTGCTCAAGACGCTCTCCAAGCGGATCGACGTGTTTGTGCAGGGCTACAACTACGAGGACGACGATCGGCTGGCCCAGGCCATGCGGCTAGGCATCGTGGTTGTACCCGAGGCCTACGTCCGCGGCTGTCTCGCAGCAGGCTGCGTTCTCGACTGGCGCCGGTTTGCGCTTGTCGGCGCCCTCGACGGCTCGATGGACGACAATGCCGTGGCGGGCTACTTTGGACTGGACAATCAGGCGCTGATGGCACACTTTCCACACGCGCCACGACATGTGCGCGAGGATGAGGAGCTGCCGCAGCATGTGTGCGAGTTTGAGGTCATGGACCGGGTCGCGCCGCAGCCCGGGACCAAGGACGTCTTTGCCATCATGCCCATCGTGACGCGCAAGCCGGGCACTGGCTCCTTTGCACAGAGCTGGGGCAAGGCGACGTTTGCCCAACTCGGAGGCAAAGTGCAGATGAAGCGGCTAGTCGCCTTTGTCAAGGTCTTCTTTGGCATGCAGGTCCGCATCGAGCCTCCGGCAGAGCTTGACAACAGCGCCCGGAGTTGCAAAGACGGAACCGTCGATCTCATCATGGGCAAGTATGCGTATCCGCTGAGGGTCCGCAAGGTCGACGGCCGCGCCGCGGTCCATGCCATGGACGCCATCGCGGTCCTCGATGAGAACATCCCACAAGACGCCTTTTGCCTTGTCGGCATCTTTGCTGACGATCTGTATGAGGCTGACGACGACGAAGACGTCTCGGGCATTCTTCTTGGCCGGGCAACCGGCAACGGCAGCGCCGTGGTCAGCACTGCGCACTTTGGTGGTGCGGCAACCCGGGCCGGCTTTGCCCACTTGCTGGGCACCCTCGCCCACGAGGCCTCGCACATGTTCGGCCTCGACCACTGTCCGTTCCACCTCTGCATCATGAACGCGATGCTTCCCGACGAAAGCGATCCAGACTCGGGCTCACTCGGCTATTGCCCGTACTGCCTCCGCAAGATGGATCTCGCCGTCGCTTCGCTCGACCCCTCTGCCCGATACGCCGCCCTTGCATCTACCTACGCCGCGCTCGGCCTCGACCGCCACGCATCTTGGATAGACTCGATCATGGATGCCTGCCACGTGCCGCAACTCCCTTCCGCCCCGTCGGGCGATTGAGAGAGCTTGACACAATGAACGCCGTACGTGAGCGTAGGCTGGCCGAGCCAGCCGCCGCCGCCGCCGTCCACCGGCGTCACCAGCCACCACCACCCCACCACCACTCCACCCCAGCCACCACCACTCCACCCTCGCCGCATGCACTCATGGCAACCCCTCACCGCAGTCGGCGTCCTCGGGCACGCCGCTGTTCTCGGTCAGGCTAGTTAGCATCGACAGCTACACCGCGCCGCCGCTGGACTCGCACGACGACGGCTTCTCCGACTTTGGCTCGCGCGCCATCCACAGGGTCCCGGTCATCCGGGTCTACGGCGCCACGCCCGCCGGGCAAAAAGTCACCGCTCACATCCACGGCGTTTACCCGTACGCCTTCATCCCGCTGCCACACGATCTGGCCAACGCGGACTCGCTGGTTCCGGTCCACGCCTTCATCCAGCGCCTGGCTGTAGCCATCGAGGATGCGCTCAATGGTGCGGCCAGTGGCGGCGGAGGAGGCGGAAAGGGGCCTGCGCGTTCGGCATCGGTCGATCAGCATGTTCGTGCCATCACGCTTGTGCGAGGCAAGCCATTCTACGGCTACGCCCGCGCCGACGCCGTCTTTCTCAAAATCGAGCTCCTCTCGCCGTACTCGCTCGGCGCCATGGTCAAGCTCATGCGCGAGGGCCTGATCCTCGGTCGCGTCATGCAGCCGTACGAGGCCCATGTTCCGTACCATCTCCAGTTTTGTATCGACTACAACCTCTATGGCATGGGTTTTCTCAACGCCGACGCTGTCGCTTTCCGCTCGCCGATCTTGTACAAGGCCGACGCCGACTGGCGGCTTGGCCCGACGCCGATCGACGACGACACCGCCGTCGCCCATCCCACGCCAGGCTCGTTTGCCATCCCGCTTGATACCTCGCCGCCGACCCACGCCCGCCTCTCGCAGCTCAAGATTGCGTACCGGGTGTGGACTGCCGAAGCGCTCGTCCCCGACCAGCGCATGCCGACGTCGGTCCAGCGGCTCTCGACCACCGAGCTCGAGGTCGACATCCGCGCTGCCGACATTGTCAATGCCCGCACCATCCCATCCGGTGACCTGGCAGTCGACTCGGGCGTCAAGCTCGTGCCGTCGCTCGCCGCCATCTGGGAGGATGAAGCGCTTCGCCGGGCGCTGTCCGGTCAGGAACCGGCGCCGACGCCGCCAGACCCTCCGCCGCGCTCGCCCATTGTTCATGAGTGGGTCGAGCCAATTCTCGGCGACCTGGCTTCGCTTGTCGCCGGCCACTCGCCGCCGGTGGCTGACGAGCTGCCGCCGCTGCTGGCGGCCTCGCCGACCACCAACTCTCAGGCCTCGTCGACCCACGCATCGCAACTCTCGTTTGATCTCGAGTCGGCGCTCGGCATCTCGGGCTCGCCGTCTGAACCGCACGTCGCGGGCATGCAGCTTGCGCTCGACGACGATGCCGACGATGGCGAGAATGCTCCACATTCGCAGCCCGCCTTCGGTGCCCTCGACGAGCTACTTGCCTGGGCACACGCGTCCGAGTCAAGCTCGGCGTCCGAGTCAGACGCCGACAACAATCTCACGGCCGAGGCCTATGCGGCTGCCATGATGACTCTGGCATCCTCGATTCAGCTCGACGGTGGGAGCAGAGTTGGCGAAGGAAGTCGAGGCACCTGTCGCCACCGCAAATCCCGCCGCAGGCCTGTGCAGCCGCCGCTGGAGACGCCGATGACAGTGGTTGCGAGCCAACTGCCGGCCCCGCCGGCAGCGCTCGCCCGACCTTGTGTTCACCACTCGGATGCACTGCCGGGCACGCGGTTCTTTGACTCACTCGCGCTCTGGGATCCGGCACCGGCATCAGCGACTGCGCCGCGACTCTCTAATGCTGCGTACTGCTTTCGCGACCCACTCCCACGGCCGAGCTCGCCAACGGCGGCATCGGCTCACCGCCATCGCCGCACCACGCACTGGGTTCCGGCAGCGCGGCCACCAGCCATGACCAGCCTCCCGCGTCTGGCGTATGTTCACCCGCGGATCCACTTTTCCGACCCGGCCGACATGGGCCGGCGAATCACGGTGTCGGCGGGTCGGACGTTCCGGCATATGACGACGCCGTACCCAGTGCCAGACTCGGCTCCGGTGCCTGTGCTCCGGCCGTGTGTGGTGGCTCACACTGCCGCGGTTCAGACTCATGTCCCGATCCAACTCCCGCCGTCGCCCGGGGCACTGAGCGCTCGGGCTGAGGGTGGTGGGCGCGTGTCCAGAGGAATCAAGCCGCTGCTTCATACCGGGACGACAACGAAGCGCTCACAGACGCCGTCGCAGATCATGACGCTCAATGACAACCAGCACCTGACGACGCTCTCGCTGGAAGTGGTATTCACGACCCGCAAGGAGCTGCTGCCGGATCCGCGACTCGATCCACTGGTGGCGGTAGCATACACAGTTGGCGACGATGACCTCGCATTGGCGCGCGGCGCGCCGAGCTACATCCGTGGCGTAATGGCGGTGACAAAGGCCGGGGACGGCGGCGATCCGCGGCGGTACGGCCTCGATCGCAGCGTCCGGTACCGGAGCGTCGCCAACGAGCAGCTGCTCATCGAGGCGGTGGTCGAGCTTGTTCGGCAGATGGACCCGGACATCTTGACCGGGTACGAGGTCCAGCAGTCTTCTTGGGGCCTCCTCATTGAGCGCGCGGGCGTGCTCGGATACAATTTGTGCAAGTTGCTTGGCCGGTGCGGCGGAGCCGGAGCCAACTACTACGACGCGGCGGCAAACCGCGACGCGTATGGACTCTCGCACAACTCGGGTATTCACGTCTCGGGAAGAATTGTGCTCAACGCGTGGCGGCTGCTGCGGAAAGAGCTCACGCTGCGGATGTACTCGTACGCCGCGGTTGTCGAATCAGTCCTCCACACGCGGGTACCTGTCTATCCTCCCGCCCGGGTGACCCGATGGTGGCTGGCGGGCTCGCGACGACGGGTGGCGGTGCTAGACTTGGTACTGGCGCGCTCCGGTCATGTGCTGGCCATCTTTGACAAGCTCAACTTTGTTGGGCGGACGTCGGAGCAGGCACGGGTGTTTGGCATCGACTTTTTCTCGGTTCTCTCGCGCGGCTCGCAGTACCGTGTGGAGAGCATGCTGATGCGGCTGACCAAGCCGCGGAACTACGTGCTTGTCTCGCCGTCGCCGGAGCAGGTGTCTGCGATGGCGGCAGCGCAGGCGGTGCCGCTCATCATGGAGCCAGTCTCCCGAGTCTACACCGATCCTGTCGTTGTCCTTGACTTTGCCTCGCTCTATCCGTCGGTCATCATTGCTCACAACTACTGCTACTCGACAACGCTCGGGCGGGTGTCGGGCGCAGAGACCAAGGAACTTGGCGTGGTGACGGCATATCATCTGGCAATGGGCGAGACGGCGCGTCTGGCGCGGAGCGAGGCTCTGGTGGCGGCGCCCAACTCGGTGCTCTTTACCAAGCCGGAGCTCCGGCCGGGCGTCTTGCCCAAAATGCTCTCCGAGTTGCTGGAGACGCGGGTGATGGTGAAGAAGGCGCTGAGCAAGGCGCGGGCGGCGGGGCACGAGGCTCTGGCGCGAATGCTTGATGCGCGACAAGAGTCGCTCAAGCTCATTGCCAACGTGACGTATGGCTACACGACGGCGTCGTTTTCAGGCCGAATGCCAATGATTGAGCTCGCGGACGCGATTGTTCAGACCGGGCGCGAGACGCTCGAGGATGCGATCCGCTACATCGAGGCGAACGCGGACTGGGGCGCGCGGGTGGTGTACGGCGACACCGACTCGGTGTTTGTACGGCTGGCAGGGGCGTCCAAGATGGACGCCTTCCGGATTGCGCGCGAGATTGCGGCGCAGGTGACGGCGCGGTACAAGGCGCCGATCCGGCTCAAGTTTGAAAAGGTATACCTGCCGTGCGCACTGCTGACCAAAAAGCGTTACGTCGGCTACGCGTGGGAGGACGAGGGCCAGACCGAGCCGATTTTCGACGCCAAGGGCATCGAGACGGTGCGACGCGACACGGCCCCGGTGACGTCACGGATTCTAGAAAAGGTCTTGCGGGTTTTGTTTGAGACGTCGGATGTGAGCGCCATCAAGGCTGTGCTCAACAGCGAGTGGCGGGCGATCCACGCCGACGCGCTCGACATGCGCGAGTACATGTTTGCCAAGGAGGTCAAGCTCGGGTCGTATGCCGCTGGGCGGGTTCCACCGCCAGTCGCGTTGGTAGCGCAGCGGCGGATGCGCCGCGACCCGCGGGCCGAACCGCGGTACAAGGAGCGGGTCCCGTACCTGGTGGTGTACGGCCCGCCGGACGCCAAGCTGTACGAGCAGGTTGTCGATCCGCGCGAAGTGCTTCGTGACCTCTCGCTGGTCATCAATGCCAAGTACTACTGCGTCAACAACGTCAACGCTGCTCTCGATCGAGTCCTCTCGCAGATCGGTGTCGACGTCGCCATGTGGTACGCGCGGCTGGGCAAGATCCGGCGCGCAGCTGGCGACAGGCCACGCGCTACGCGTGACGAGCCCGGCGCCACCATTGCCACATTTTTCGCGTCGCGCCTCTGCCCAGCCTGCCGCGAGGCCGACGTCATCGGCACCGCCGACTACTGCACCACCTGCGCCGCGTCGCCGGTCCTCGCCCGCTATCGCGTCGCTATGCGCGCCCATGCGCAAGAGCGCGAGCGTGCTCGCCTCCGCGCCATCTGTCTCAAGTGCGTCGGCGAAGCCGCCGGTGTCGAAGGCGTCGATGCTTGCGTCGAGATCGAATGCCCTGTCTTGTGGGCGCGGCGTAAAACCTATCTCTGGTGAGTGAGATATCGCCGCCGCTAGAGAGAGGGAGAGACAGTGTGTGTGTGTGTGTGTGTGATGGAGTGAGGGAGTGAGGGTGTGGATGAGATGTTCCATTGGAGCTGCTGTCGAACCGGTGAGAACACTGCAAAGAGCACCCCCACACACATACACACATACACACACTAATCACTTGACTCAACAGACGCTCACATAGCGGGCCACATCATGGCAGCTGGAAGCGACGATGCACAGGAAGCTGTGGTATTCGGGACCGGGTCCGGAGCGAGGCGAAGTGGTTCCAGAGACGGCGGCAGTGCTAGTGGAGGCGGACAAGGTGGCGAGCTGGAAGGCCGACAGCCGTATGATTACTATTTGGTGTTTGACGTCGAGGCGACGTGTGAGGCCGAGCGGAACAGCAAGTACCCGCATGAGATCATTGAGTTCCCGGTGGTGGTCATGACAGGCGAGGGCGAGATCCTGGAGAGCCCACGGTTCCACACATACCTCAAGCCGACGACCAATCCCATCCTCTCCGAGTTCTGCACTGAGCTGACCGGAATCACCCAAGATCAAGTCGATGCCGGCATGGGCTTTGAGGAGATGCTTCACGCCCTGGATGCCTGGCTCGACGACAACGAGTTCTTTACCGCTGCCAAGCCGACTGTCTTTGCCTGTGATGGCCCCTGGGACGTCCGCGACTTTGTGGCTGGCGAGTGCAAGCGCAAGCGCGTCGAGTTTCCGTGGTACATGCGGTCGTGGGTCGACATCCGCCACACATACCATCGCCACTACCGAAACGGCGCCCGCAGGCTCAATGGCATGCTCGAGGCGATCGGCATGGAGTTTGAGGGCCGGGAGCACTCGGGCATGGACGATGCCATCAACATTGCCCGCCTGGCGTCTGCCATCATCCGCGACGGCGGCAGCCTTGCTGTCAACCGCGTTGTCGACCGCCGTCGCGCCCTCGACGACGACCAAGTCTCGCGCGTCCTCTTTTACTCGTACGACTTTGCGACGATCTCCGACTTTGCCGCCGACGAGCTCATCGCCGCCCATCCCGCCCACGCGCCACGGCTACAGGCCTTCCGCGTCGCCCGCGCCGCCGCCGCCAAGGCCACACACCTCGCCAAGACCCGCAAGCAGCAGGCCCGTCGCAATGCGAAGCGCAAGCGCGGCAAGCACAAGAAGCACGGCCGGCGGCGGTAGTATCCCCTCTTCCCCCCGCCTCCATCCATGAGGCTCACCATTAGCTTGTTATCAAAGGCCCACAGCACGACCTTCAGCTTCAGCCTTCCATCATCGCATAGTGTGCATGGGAGGGGAGGGGGGGGGGGGCACCAGAGTTCCACGTTTCCGGGATTCGGGGCGTGGGGTCAGAGGTCACCGCACTCCACCCCACCACCATCACCAGCACCACCATGACGTGGACGGCGGTGTTTATGGTAGCGGTGGCGAGCATGGTCATGGCTGTGCTTGGGTACCACGCACCGCTCCAGCTGAACCAGATTCAAGGCGCAGGAATCCACAATGGCTACCACCTTCCGCCTGTCCGGCCTCTTCCGCGGTGGAACATGACGGCGCCGACCTTTGCCGACGCCATGGGCCCGCTGCGGGCGACCCATGTCGAGCTGGACGTCCATCTGCGGAACGACGGTTCCACGGCTTCAGGCTTTGCCTTTGACGTCTATCACATTGCTGGCTATGACGCACGCTCGAGGTGCTCCGACCTCGAGTCGTGCCTGGTGCACTGGCTCGCCGCTCGCGTCGCCTCGGACCTCCCGGAGCCCGACATCAACCACATCCAGTGGGCCACCGTCATCCTCGAGCCCAAAGGCCCGCTGCCGTGGAAGCTGCCGGCACTGGTCGAGCTGGCACAGTTGCTGGAGCGGGTCTTTGGCCCGCACGTCCTCGGCCGCTCCGCTCTGCTCGCCGCCGCAAAGCCGGTCGGCAGCGCGGCCCAAGCTCCGGCCACGCTTCACGACATGGCCACGTCGGGCGCGTGGCCGCAGCTGCATGCGCTCGCCGGCAAGACGCTGGTACTCCTCATGGACCCCGGATCTACCATGTACATGGCATACGGTGACGCTGTGCCGGATGCGCTCGTCCGCCTCGTCGACGTGGCCGGCAAGGACGAGCCCGACGCAGCATTTATCAAAGTTGACGACCCGGTGAGTCCGGGTATTGCCGACCTTGTCAAGGCCGGCTACATGGTGCGCACCCGCGCCGACGCCGAGTACGTGCCGTGGCTGCAGACTGACGACCAGATCCTACAGGCCTACGTAGAAGTCATCGACACGAACGCGTCCGGGCGGGTGTCGACAAGCGAGATCCGTGCCTTCCTCGCGGCGCTGGACGTGGTCTCGCCGGTCCTGGAGGCCAACCTCGATGCAGCTGCCGCCGGGTGCGGCGACATCGGGACCGGGCTCGACGCCGCAGGCCTCGGCTGCGTTCGCGACGCCCTGGTTGCCGTCGACCCATCGGCAGCGTCGCTCATTCCAACGCCTGCCATGCTCACGCCCCCACTGGAGGCCATGGAGGCTCGCCAGCAGCAGGCCATCATCTCGGGTGCGCACTTTGTCTCGACCGACTATCTGTTCTCACGGTATGTGTCGCCGGCGCCGGCGTATGCGACTAAGCCTGATCCGTACGTTGTCTCGTTTGCAGCCGGGCCGAGCGGCGGCTACTTGTGCAACCCAGTGACGGCGCAGTTTGAAGCGCCGCTCTCGTGCTCGTCGAGCCACGCCAACAAGGCCGCCGCGGGCACTTGCCCGCCCAACTGTGCCACCTGCGCCAACACCGATACTTGCTCGGTGTGCAAGCCGGGCTACACTGCCACCGGCAAGTACCAGGACCCGTCCGCCAACACAGTTGCCTGCGCCGACTCGAGCCAGACAACCAGCGCAGCGGCCAGCCCCGCGAGCAAGTCGGGAGCATCGACAACAGCAACCATTGTGCTTGTGGCGGTCGCCGCCGGTGCTGTCTGCATCGTCACTGCATGTGTCGGCTACCGACTCACGCCCAAGCACAAGTATGCCGCCCCAAGTGAGCTCCGAGAGCGCGAGCTCGAGGCACCGCTCGTCGCCAACCGCCCGGCGCCGGTCCTGCCGTCTGACTACTCGACGCCGTCGTTCTCGTCATTCACTGACGAGCCGATCGGCCTGCCCGGCGGTGCTTCCGGCTCGGATTCGGAAATCTCAGACCTCCCGCCAGCTCATTGCTCGTCAGGCTCGGACCTTCCGGAGCCGCGCTCAGCCAGCCACGACAGTGCGGACATGGAGCTGGAGGACAAGCCCGCTCACGGTTGGGCGTCGGACTCGGACCGGGACTCGCCCACGTTTTCATCAACCGGCTCGGTCGACATGACTGCCGTCCAGCTCGCCACCGCTGCGCCCGATCAAGCCACCGCGCCTGCCACCCTCGATCCCATCCCGCCGCTCTCAGAGCCGCCCAAGTAGCAGGGCGGGCAAGAGTGACAAAAGTAAGCGTGGCTGCGACGAGCTGGCGTCCGCGTGGAAGCTGACTCGCCGGACCCGAGCCTCGACCCATTTTCAGCGGCCATTTGGCCAAACCCAAACGGGTCGACCACCCCTCTCCCCTTCCCCCCACCATGCTCGACGAGTACATCGAGACACTGCGGCAGTGCAAGTACCTGCCCGAGAATGACCTCAAGAAACTGTGCCAGATTGTACGTCCTCAATACGAGCAGCTATCTGCTGCCGTCTCCCGTCGCCAAGGTGTTCCCAATGCCCAAACTAGGCCAACCAGCGCCGGTCTCGCTCCCCCCCCCCCCGTCCTCCTCCCCGCCACACACATGGCCCGTGACGAGGGAGGAAATGCCCCTTTGGATGCAAAGGACATACATGCGTAGTCAGAGACCTATGGCGGATGGCGGTGTGGTGGTTTCCTCCGCGTAACCCTCCCAGTCAAGCCCCATACCCCCCTCCCCTCCCCGCCCCTCTGGTGGTGTTCCTGGCCGGCGATGGCGTGGGCGAGCCGCGCGGGCGCGGGCCGGCGCGATCGATGGCGGCGAGTGGAGACCAGAGTGTGGTGGGCACGGGGCGCAGCAGGGCCCGGGCTTGGTGCAGAGGCAATGGAGTGGGAAGAGGGGGGGATGAGGGGGTAATGGAGCCCGAGGTGGGGTTTGTGTCCCTGGGAGGCAAGAAGAACGGGGGCGGGGAGGGGGGGGGGGGGGGGGGCCGGCAGCTGGCATGGAACACCGGTTTTTGCCATTGGGCTGCTGATCGGCACGGCCTTTTCCTGGTGCGGCTGGGGGGGGGGGAGGGGGAGAACCAAGGACTTGGAGGAACGGCAGGAGGGGACTCACAGGCGAGGGATGTGGACGGGGTCTGTGTGAAACGGTGATGAACGAGGGCAGGTGAAGGAGCAGCTGCTTGAAGAGTCGAACGTGCAGCCTGTGCATGCGCCTGTGACGATCTGCGGCGACATCCACGGGCAGTTCTACGACCTGCTGGAGCTGTTTGAGACGGGCGGGCCGATTCCGGAGACGTCGTACATCTTTATGGGTGACTACGTCGACCGCGGGTACTACTCGCTTGAGTCGTTCTCGCTTCTTCTTGCGTACAAGGCGCGGTACCCGAACAAGATCACGCTGCTCCGCGGAAACCACGAGTCGCGGCAGATCACGCAGGTCTACGGGTTCTACGATGAGTGCGTGTCCAAGTACGGGTCGTCGAACGCGTGGCGGTTCTGCACGGAGATCTTCGACTACCTCACGCTTGCCGCCGTGGTGGACGGCAAGATCCTGTGTGTGCATGGCGGGCTCTCGCCGGACGTGCGGACGCTCGACCAGATCCGCACCATCCACCGGATGCAGGAGATCCCGCACGAGGGCGCGTTCTGCGACCTGCTGTGGTCAGACCCGGAGCACATCGAGACGTGGGCCATCTCGCCGCGTGGCGCAGGCTGGCTCTTTGGCTCCAAGGTCACCCGTGAGTTCAACCAGATCAACGGGCTCAACCTCATTGCGCGGGCGCACCAGCTTGTGCAGGAGGGCTACAAGTTTATGTTTGAGGAGAACTCACTGGTCACCGTCTGGTCGGCACCCAACTACTGCTACCGCTGCGGCAACGTGGCGTCGATCATGCAGGTCGACGACTCGCTCAACACCACGTTCAAGGTCTTTAACGCCGTTCCGGACTCGCAGCGCGTTGTCCCCACACGGACCGCCACGCCGTACTTTATGTGATCTTGACGTTTCTCTGCAAAGCCGCCAGATGGAGCGAGTGAACGAAGCTGTTTGACCAGGCTGCGCTGACCTCACACTTGTCACACACACTCCCCCCCCCACACACACTCACACGCACGCACACACACGCACACACACACACACACACACACACGCACACACACACACATATTGTAGCTAAAGATACGTATGCGTAGGGCGGCAGTGTTGGTGCTGGTGCTGGGAGCAGTTGTGCTGGTGGCCACAGCTGCCAAGATCGAGACGGTGGCCGAGACGGTGGCCGAGACGGTGGCCGAGAGGGTGGCCGAGACGGTGGCCGAGGGCAGCGGGGGAAAGGGCGACGAGAGCAAGGCACTGGAGGAGGCGGCCGAGGCGTTGCGAGAAGCGGCCGCGGCGCAACCGGCGTGTGTCAACATCTCGACGTGTGATGTCGATCTGGCTCTCCGGCTGCATCTGCAGCAACAGCCGAAGAACTGCCGGAGCCGCAGGCTGCTGATTGTCAATCTGCCGGTCGACGATGGACTTGGCTCTGTGGTCATGACGGTGGTAGGCGCGCTGGCTGAGGGCCTCTACTCGGGGCGGACGGTGGTGCTCGCGCCGCACGATCTCGGGTACACGGGTGCGGTAAGCGGTCGCGCCAATGCGACCGGTGAGTGGGCATCGATCTTCAAGCGCATCTCGTCGTGCACCGTCCACGACGTCAGCGCACCCGAGTGGGTGGCACTCTCGCGGCATCCGGGCCTCGACCACGCACGGGTCAAGTTTGCCGAGGTCCGTCGTGGCCTCCTCGCCTTTGCGCCCCTCGACATCTACCGGATTGTGGACCACGCGCCGATCTGGTTTGCCTCGCGGCTGCTCGACTATGTCTTCAAGTTTGCGCCCGGGCTCAAGGCCGAGATGGAGCAGTTTGCACGGGTGCTCGAAGCCCATCTCCCGGCCGGTCCGTCGTCGTGTGTCTCGGTCCATGTCCGCCGCGGCGAGCTGGCGTCTGCACCTGGTCGTTTTGCCGACTTCCGATCCGTCTACGACAACGAGGCTTATCTCGCGGCGGTGGCTCGCGCAGTCGGGCCGGCCACCTCTGCCGTGGTGTGGGCGTCGGACACGGGCGCGTCGCTGCCAGCGACAGTGGCTGCGGTGGCCGAGGGTGATGCGCGTGTGCCGCGGCGGCCGGGTGAGCCGGGCCACTTTCGGTTTGCGCATCTCTCGTCGGACGCCGGCCTGCACACGCTCCTCAAGACCAGCGAGAACGAGACGCTGGAGGCACAGCGAGCAGCAGTGGCGGGCGATGTGGGCGCTGGCGAGTTTGCTGTCCGCGTGACGACCGAGACGCTGAAGGACATGCTGACGCTCGGGGCGTGCTCGACCCAGGTCGGGACAGTCCAGTCGGCGATGAGCGTGGTGGCGCAGCTGCTGGCGTACAACCGTACCGGCACGCCGCCGACGGTCCACTATCTGGACGCCGAGGCCGTGGCCAACGGTGAGGTTGTCCACGGCGGGCTCCGGTCTGGGATCATGATCGACCCTGCGTCGCAGGCGGGGCGAGTTCCGCCGCCGCGGGACGGGGTGGCCACACGGTGGCGGACCATCTCGATGCGGTTCGGCAACGGGCTGGTGCAGCCGCGGCTGGAGGCTGACGTCGCGTCGCTGGTGACGTACGATGGCGCTTCCGGACTCCCTCGCGTCAATCTGACCGCGGTCGACGCTGCGGTAGCGCGCGACGACCTCAACGGAACGCAACGGTACCGCGAGCTGAAGGAGCTCCCGGCCATGGGTGGTATGTTCTACGACATCTCGCCGCTCTGTCCGTGGGACGAGCTCCTTGCCGCCACCGACTCGCAGGTGATAGAGGTTGTAGCGAGCATCGAGGCCATGGCTGACTACTGGTCGGATGTGACGGTGCTGGCGTGCGTGGAGCACATGGCGTCGGTGCTGGTCACCACCGATGCGCCTAGGCGCGGCTCGGACCTCTTCCCGCTCTTCCGCAAGCTCGTCCAGCTCTCGGGCCTCGTCCGCAGCGAGCCGGTCTCTCTCTGGCCTTGGTTTGCCAAGGCGGTCGCCGACAGCTGGGATACTGTCAGTGACGAGCTCCCGCTCCTTGCCAAGGTCTTCCACGCCATCAACGACCTCGCGGCGCCAAACGCGCTCGTCCGCGCGCGGCTCGAGCATGCGTATGCCGCCAGTGAACGCGCCAAGGAGAGCGCTGCCGCCGAGAGCAGTGCTGCTGCGACCGAGGCTGGCCATGACGAGCTGTAAACACTGCCTCGATACCTGTTAGCCTACATCTATGATCATGGGCTGGCTGCGGGAGCCAGTGCGTGACTTAGGCCGCATCCACAGGCCTGACCAGCATCGGCATGTGTCACACGCCAAAGGGCGGCGGATCGGGCAGCCCATCCGCCTCGCCTCAACCACCCCGTCCTCAGCACCGCAGGGGGGGGGGCAAGGACAAGAGCGGGCACACCTCTCTGTACCAGCCAGGCACACACCTCAGCCGTAGCAGGCAGTAGCAGTAGCAGTCCTTTACGCCTTGACTGTCGCCACAACTCGGTCACACCCACGGTTATCCTCGCCCAGGTCGTCAACCATGTCCGAGACGCCGGTGGCCTCACCGCGGCCGTTTGCTACGGTCGACGACACGTCTGCGGCACGGGCCGAGTACGATTATGAGTTTGTGGGCTATGGATCGGAGCTGGTGGTGGATGATCTGGATGCGGCGGTGATGGCGGCGGAGATGGAGCAGGCCTCGATTGCTCGGCAGGCTCAAGCGGCTGCCCGGGCGAGACGAGGAGGAGTAGGCAAGAGCCGTCCCGGTCTGGGCCCGGAGAGCCCGTCGGTGACCGGCGGGCCAAGTGGGCTGGTCCATTCGGGAGCCGTGCACTCTGGGCCGGTGACGGCGGCGACGCGGCTGCTGGGCCCTCGGACGACGACGATGATGCACAAGGAGTACTTTGGATCGTTTGAGCCGATGGTGACTGTGGGCGGGCGCGGCGGGCCCGGGACGCCGTACACGACGGCCGGTGACGATGAGGAGGATCCGGGCGCTGAGGCGTGGTCGATCGACGAGCGGCGGATGTCGACGGTGGCGCGGCGGGCGGCGGCGCCGCACCAGGACTCGACGGCGCATGTGCTGCTGAACCAGATGGAGGCGACAGCGATTGCCGGCAACGACATCACGGGCTCGGTCCTGTACTGCGCTGGGATTGTGGGCCAGACAGCGGGCAAGTGGGCGCCGCTGTCGCTGGTCATGATGGCTGTTGTGTTGTACGCTTTCCGGCGGGTGTATGCCGAGGTGGGCGCGGCGCTGCCGCTCAACGGCGGGACGTACACCCTCTTGCTCAACACCAGCTCCAAGTCGTGGGCGGCGATTGGGGCGTGCCTCACGTTTCTCTCGTACATTGCGACGGCTGTGGTCTCGGCATCGAGCGCGATGACGTACCTGCACGCCATTGCGCCGCAGGTCGAGGTGTGGTACGCCACGGTTGCGCTGCTGCTGCTTGTGGCGATGCTAGTGGCGTTTGGCATCTCCGACTCTGCGCGCGTGGCGATGCTCATCTTTGGGGTGCACATGCTCTCGCTGATGGCGCTGATGGTGGCGTCGTCTGTGTACGCGGGCCAGCACGGACATGTGCTGCGGGACAACTGGGCGGCGGACGATGCGGCCAACCCGGCGGGCAAGTCTGGGGCGGGTGCGCTGAAGAGGATCTTCTATGGCTTTTGCGTCTCTGCGCTCGGCATCTCGGGATTTGAGACGTCTGCCAACTTTATCGAGCAGCAGAAGCCTGGGTCTTTCCCAAGACGCTCCGCAATATGTGGGTTGCGGTCTCGATTCTCAACCCGTGCCTCTCGTTCCTGGCGTGGGCCATTCTGCCGTACGAGGACATTTCCAACACGGATGCGGCGAATCAGCTGCTTGTCAACATGGCGCGGGTGGCCGGCGGCGAGGTGCTGCGGTGGGTCATTGCGGTGGACGCGGTGGCTGTGCTCTCGGGCTCGGTCCTCACGTCGTACGTGGGCGTGATGGGCCTGCTAAAGCGGATGGCTCTCGACCGGTGCCTCCCGGGCTTTCTCATTGTGGAGAACAAGTGGCGGCACACGCCGCATGTCATCATCTTTGGCTTCTTCTTCCTCTGCTCCTCGCTGTACTTTGTGGTTGACTTTGATGTGCGGGTGCTTGCGGGCGTGTACACGGTGGCATTCCTCTCTGTCATGGCGCTCTTTGCCATCGGCAACATGCTCCTCAAGTACAAGCGCGGGCGGCTTCCGACGTCGGAGCGGGCGTGTGGCCGCGGACCCTGTTCTCGCTGGTGGCTGTCTTGACGGCGCTGGTCGGCAACGTCATCCTGGACATATCGATTGTCCCGTGGTTTGTGCTCTACTTTGGCGCCACGCTTGCGGTGGTGCTGGTCATGTTTGGGCGGGTCCGGGTCCTCAAGTTTGTGCTCTACCTCGTCCGGCAGACGCTGGGCAAGGAGTCGCGGGTGGCGGTGGCGCTCAAGTCGCTCATCACGCAGATCAAGTCGCGGCCGATTGTGTTCTTCACCGCCGATGGCAAGCTGGCGACGCTCAACAAGGCCGTCCTCTACATCCGCAACAATGAGCTCTCCAACCGGATCGACATCTGCCACGTCTACGCCGACCGTGCGGAGGTGCCGGCCGAGCTCGCTGAGCACGTCCAGCTTCTTGATCGGATGTACCCCAAGGCCGTCATCAACCTCACCCTTGTCCGCGGCGTGTTCAACCCGGCAACTATCGACAAGATCTCCCGGCTCTTGTCGGTGCCCAAGAACATGATGTTCATCTCGTGCCCCGGCGGCCGGTTCCCGCACAATGTGGGCGAGCTTGGCGGGGTCCGAGTCATCACCCACTGACTAATGCCTTTGAGTGAAGATCGAGAGCGAGAGCGAGAGCGAGAGCGAGAGGGTGGGTGGGTGGGTGGCGGAGGGTGTGGCGGAGGTGGGAAAAGAAGGTGTGTCACTTGACTCTCGACCGGCAGCAGCAGCAGCAGCAGCAGCAGCAGCGCACGGGAAAGGGAACATGGCTAAGATGGGGAGTGTCGTCACTGTTGTGGTTGCTGCGTTGGTGGCGCTTGTGCTGTGTGCGAAGAGTGGGGCCGGGCAGGTGTACCATGACTATGGTAGGTTGGGGGGGGGAAGGGGGAAGGGGGGAGGGGGCGGGAGGGGAGGGGGCGGGAGGCGGTGCTTGGTTGGTCGCTTTGCCCGGTGATGGTGGGGCTATGGGTATGACTCACACTGCTTTCCGTACCACCTTGTGGCGTCCTGGTCCGGTTGGTTGGTTGGTTGGTTGGTTGGTTGGTGGGTTGGGTTGGTCGCGTTCCTGGTCACGCAGCTGCGCTCAACACGCTGTTTGAAGATCTGGTGACGAACCAGTGTCCGCTCATTGCGCGCCGGTTTACGGTGGGGAGCTCCGAGTCGGGACGAATGATCTACGGGATCCGGCTGACGCACCAGGTGGCGCTGTCAGAGAACGACTCGCCCAAGCCGGCTGTCCGGCTCACGGCCAACATCCACGGCGACGAGACGGTCGGTCGTGAGATGCTGATTGCGTTTGCAGAACGGCTCTGCCGCGACTACGGCACGCCGAATGCGGACGACGTGACGTGGCTGCTGGACAACACGGTGATATACATCATTCCGTCGCTCAACCCGGACGGGTTCGCGCTGGGCATGCGCGAGAACTCGCGCGGGGTCGACCTCAACCGCGACTACCCGACGCGGTTCGAGGCGAACCAGGATGACACTGCGGGGCGGCAGGCCGAGACGGCGGCGATGATGGACTGGACGCGGGCCCGGTCGTTTGCGCTGTCGGGCACGATGCACGGTGGAGCGCTGGTGGCGTCGTACCCCTGGGATTCGTCGGTGACCGGCGATGACAGTTACGCTGCCACGGAGGACGACGCCATGTACCGGCGGCTGGCGCGGATCTACGCCGACGCCAACCCGAGCATGGCAGCGTCGCCGATCTTCCCCAACGGCATCACCAACGGCGCTGACTGGTACTCGATTGTCGGCACGCTGCAGGACTACATGGTGCTTCGTGGCACACCGTCGATCACCTTTGAGCTCTCGGACAACAAGTCGCCGCCCGAGTCGGCGCTCGCCGGCTTTTGGAATGACAACAGGTTGGCGCTCATGCAGTACGCGTACCAGGTCCATGTTTCGGCGAGTGGGCGTGTCGTTGACTCGAGCGGGCAGCCCATTCCCGGCGCGGCATGCGGCATCGACTCGATCGAGTACGGGTACAAGGCGCCGACCAACCCGCACTCGGGCCGGTTCTGGCGGCTCGTCCCGGAGCCGGGCACGTACTCGGTTACCTGCGCCGCCGAGGGCTACACCGCAGTCACCAAGACCGTGATTGTGCACGAGGCCACGATTGCTGATCCGCCGACGCCCACTGAGCAGGCGCATGCCTTTGCGCAGTTTGTCCTCCCCACGGCCGCCGACGCGCCGGCTGAGACGACTGCCGGCAAGATTGCCACCGACTCGACGGCCGGCATCAACATCTGGATGACCCTCTTCCTCTTTGTCCAGATTTCCCTCATCATTTGCGCCGTCGTCATCTATCTTAACTACCGCCACAAAGCCCGGCATGCCGGGCGCTTTTAGTCCTCTCCCTAGCTAGCTATGGCGATGACATGTAAATCGATGCGTGTGCCTGTGTCGCTCTCGAACCATCGTTCGCTCGTTGTTTGTTCGTCCGCTCGTCCGTTCGTCCGTTCGTTCCGCTCATTGGCTCGGCCGACCTTCCCTCCACCCACCCACCCCAGCAAGCACACCCGACACTCCACGGCAGCAAGGCGGGAAACCGCAGCAGAGGATGTGCTCGGTGACCATCATGAGGTCCGTGTTGGACTTTATGAACACCCTGTTCATGGTACGCCCCCCCCCCCCCCCCCCCCCTCCCCCCCTTCCTCCCCCCTTCTCCCTGCCCGCGCCCACTCCAGGCACCGTACCGCATCAGCTCCTTGATACGGCGACCAGGCAGTGACCAAGAGAGGCAGTCGTGGCCAGTGACCAGTAGCCAGTGGCCAGTGGTCGTGGCCAGTGGCCAGTGGCCTGTGGTCGTGGCCAGTGGTGGTGGTCAGATCATCGTCCGATGCAGGCAGGGGGGCGGGGAAGGACAATTGGCTGGGACTGGGCATCGGGCTGGAACTCATGTCATTGGGCACTGGCTGGGGTGATGGGTGGCGGTCGGGGCGTGGTTGGGTGACGGGGATGTGCTGGTGGTGTGATGGGTGGCGGTCGGGGCGTGGTTGGGTGACGGGGATGTGCTGGTGGTGTGATCGGTGGCGGTCGGGCGTGGTTGGGTGACGGGGATGTGCTGGTGGTGTGATCGGTGGTGGTCTGTCTGGTGGTTGGGTGACGGGGATGTGCTGGTGGTGTGATCGGTGGTGGTCTGTCTGCTGGCGGGACACCCTTTGGGTGACAGCTCATTGCTCTGTTGTTGACAGTGCTGGGCGTGTGGCTGTATCTGGAGCAAGACTTTGGCTCACAGCTCATCGGACTGCCGCTCTCTGTAGGCATCATTGTCGTCTCGTCGTTTCTGCTCTTGATCACATGCGTGGCGTGTGTAGGCTTGCGCAATGAGGCGTGGTGTGTGCTCAACGGGTACGTCATGCTCATGATCTTCCTTATGGCCGCCCAGGCGTCGCTGGCGTACATGTCGCTCCGTTTCCGAGACAACATGGAGGAGCAACTGTATCAGGGCTGGCTTGACGGCTCGGACCAGCTCCGCAACACCATTCAGGACCAGCTGACGTGCTGTGGCTTCTACGCGCCTGTGGATTATCCAGGCTCGAACTGTCCGGTCAGCGCCACCATTGGCTGCTTCCCGCAGTTGGAGAACACGCTCGAGCGCCGCCTCCTGTTAGTCTCGCTCATTGCAGGTCTTGTTGCCTTTCTCGAGTTCATTGCCGTCATATTTGCCATCGGCGTCGTATGCTCCGAGCCTGGTGACGCCCTCGTTGTCCCGCTCTTTGAGCCGCCGTCGCGCGCCGAAATCCGCCGCAGGCGCAAGCTCGAGCGCGAGCGCTTCCGACTCCAACAACAGCGCGAGCGACTCAAGCGCGAGCGCGCCCGCATGGAACAGCGCTCTGCTGGAAACCTGGCACCCATTGCGCCCATCCCGCCGCCGATGGCCATCCGCAAGCCCGCCTCAACGTAGCCCCCTATCCCCTCGCGGCCGCATCCGCCCACTGTCGGCGGTGCGGTGTGGCCGTTATTGTCCTGATCAATCCCCATCATTAATCATACCACGTGAGTGTGTGTTTGGAGGGGCGGTGGGTGGGTGGGGAAGAGTTGAGGGGAGGGTGCGGTGGCGAAAGCTCTCAACCCATGCGCACCCATTGAACACAATGGGCGAATCATCGATTCACTCAAAGCCTGTTCCCCTCCTCCCCTTCCCCCCCTCCCACCCCTCTCCACCACATCACCTGCACACCACCATGTCCACCGGCGACCTCTCGTACGAGACCCTCGACCACATGTTCGACAACTCCGAGTACCAGGAGCTGTACACCCGCCTCGAAGCCGAGCTCACCATCACCTCGTACGCAACACCCTCCCCTAGCCCATACCCCCCCCCCCCCCCCCCCCTTCGTCCACCGACTCGTGACGTAGCCTGACACCGCCACCGGCACGAGGTGCGGCGATGCAAGAAGATGTGGGAGGGGATTGTTGGGCAGTCATGATGTGATTATTTTTGTTCGTTTTTTTGGGGGGGGAGGGGGGAGGGGGAGTCGGGCACTGTGGATTGGAGGGGAGGGGGGATATTATTTGGCTGGTGTCGTGGCAATAGCGAGGACTCATGGCATGGCCGCGGGTGGTGGGAGGTGTGTACAGGGCGGCGCAGGCTGAGGCTGGCGAGTCGGACTCGGAGGAGGACGTGGAGCTGCTCTGGCGGTTTGCGCGGGTCTGCTACTCGATGCACACCGAGAACAAGGCCGACAAGAAGGCGGCCGAGGCGTACCTGCGGCTGGCGATCGACGCGGCCAAGCAGGGCATGCGGCTCGACGAGGGCCACTTTGCGCCGCACAAGTGGTACGCCATCGCACTCGGTGGGCTCGGCGGCTACGTCTCGACTAAGGAGAAGATCGGGTATGCGTACGAGATCCGCGAGCACGCCGACAAGGCGCTCGAGCTCAAGCCCGGTGACTCGGCTACGCTGCATCTCATCGGCCGCTGGTGCTTTGACGTCGCCGGCATCGGCTGGGCCACCCGCAAGATCGCCTCCATGCTCTTCGCCACCCCGCCCGAGTCGTCGTTTGACGAGGCGCTCACGTTCTTCGAGCAGGCCCGCGACGCCCTTCCCGACGACGCCAAGAACACCTTCCCGGAGAACGACTTGTTCATCGGCAACACTCTGCTGAAGCTCTCCCGCAAGGCCGATGCCCGCGCTGCCTTCCAGGCCGCCGTCGATGCACCTATCAAGGGCGCCGACGGCCAGCGCATCCACGATGAGGCCGCCAAGCAGCTTTAGTATCCCGCGCACACTCGCACACAGGCCCGTGCGCGCTCACATTGAATCTGGCTGCGCCCTGCCATGCTGCGTCGCAAGGAGCTCCTCTAGCCGCTGCCTCTCCCGCCGCAGCTGCGACTCCCTGTGCTCTGTCGCCGCCAGCTGCTGGCGTAAGGCCTCGCGCTCGGCCGTGGCCGCGCCGATCTCTGCCTGAAGCGTGTTGAACGACGCCGAGCGTGGTGGTGGTGCGCAGCCAGCGACCACTTTGTGCTTCTTCCGTCGCCGCCGTGCTTGGAGCTGGCTGGCTTTGACGGCTCGCTTCGCCTTGCAGGCCTTGGCTTTTGCCGCGCCGATCACGCGGTGCGCAACAAGCGAACGGTCGGCGCACGCCCAAACACTCGCGACTGCCTCGCCGGGAATCAGGCGAGTAAGCGACTCAATGTGGTGGCTGTACGTCATTTGGCGGTCGGCAATGGCAGCGATGTGGGTGACTGTGGCACCAAGCGCGGTGTCATCGTCTCCAACACCCGCCTCGGCCGCAGGCTCGGGCTCTGGCCTGTCGATGCTCTCGCTGCTAGAAGGCGCGTCGGAGGAGGCTATGAGCGCGGCAGCTGCGGCGATGATCGAGTCGGTCACAACCAAACTGCCTGCGTAGGTGGCAGGCAGCTGCGATGCAAAGGCGCGCGCAGCGGCGAGGCCCGACGCAGGCGTGGTCGAGCAAGCAGGAGCTGGGAGGTAGACTTGCTTCTCGGTAGCGACCTTGGCAATTGTTCGAAACGCAACAGCAGGCATGTCGTGGAGTACAGCGTACTCGCCGACGGCAGCCGTCAATGTCTCCATCGCCACCGACAGCTTGCGCGCCCCGTCAACGATCGGCCGCCCATGGATCATGCACTCGATGATGTTGGAGGCCGCGGTACACAGGGTGATAAAGTCGGTTCGGAGCTCGTTGGCGGCGCGGTCGAGGTCGGCAATGACGTCGGCGAGTAGTTCGCCCAGGTGCTGCGCCGCCTCGTGCTTGGTCGCCAGCTCGTCAGTGGCAGCAGCAAGGCGGGAAGCGGCACGCGCGTCAGACGGAAGCGGCAACTTCTGGATGACGTCGTGCAGTGCCTGGAGCTCGAGCAAAGAGCTATCAATTGTGTCGAGAGGTTTGGCCTGGCTGCCGACTGGGAGTAGGGTACAACTGGTTGCGATGGCCGACGCGCGGTCATGCCACTCGGTGGCGGCAGTGCGGGTCGAGTTGGCAAGCTGGGTGATGCTGGCCGTATCAGCGCGGAGCTGGGCCCACCATGCCTGCCTGTCCGGGACATATCTAACGAGCGAGCCTTCCGGTACAGCGCAGCTCTCGAGCGCGGCTAGGATGGGGCGAGCGTCGCGGTTAAAGGTGTCGGACGCGGCCGAGAGTCTGCGCAGCTCGGAGCTAATAGCGGCGATACCGGTATTGCGGACGAAGTTTTGCAGCGCACCAGCAATCGACAACATTAGCTTGCGCCTGTGGGCGGTATCGGCCAGCCGGGAGACAGCGATGTTCGCGTGCCACCGGATGGCGCTCACCGTGTCCATGACGCGGGTCACCTGGCGCACCAAAGCCTCCTTTGTCGTCCGCATGGCAGACTCTAGCCCCTGGAGCTGGTCCAGAGCATCGGCCTTTGCGGCGAGAGCCTCCCGCGCCTCTACCAGCTCTCGGACTATGTCGTCGATGTGTGCCTCTGGGTGGGCCCAGACGCCCGGGTCGGCGACGATGACCTCCGCACCGTGAGGGAGCTGGCGGCAGCGACGGCCGTCGAGGGTCAAGACGAGGGAGCCCCGCCGAAGGTCCTGGACCCTGAGTCCCCGCTGGACCGAGCCATCCAAGAAGAGTGCGTCGATCATGGCGAGATGATGCGGGAGGAGTATGCGTAGGTGTTGGAGTGTGACCTGTACGCGTGCGGGTGTGACGGGTTTTTTCGCCCGGGAACGTCACACTCTGACCAGAGTCAGGCTACGAGGGGGGAGGAAGGGGGAGGAAGGGGGATGTAGGCATCGAGGTAGATTTGGCTGTAGAGACAGTTGTGAACGAGGAGGTGGTGGTGCGTGTGTATGTAGTCGTGTTTTCACGAGTCAGGGTGTGCCTGTGGGTGTGCCTGTGCCTGTGGCTGTGGGTGTGGCTGTGCCTGTGGCTGTGGCTGTGGCTGTGGGTGTGGCTGTGGCTGTGGGTGTGGCTGTGGCTGTGGCTGTGGGTGTGCCTGTGGCTGTGCCTGTGGGTGTGCCTGTGCCTGTGGGTGTGGCTGTGGGTGTGCCTGTGGCTGTGGCTGTGGCTGTGGCTGTGGCTGTGCCTGTGGCTGTGCCTGTGATCTGTACATGTGTCTATTTTCCCCTGCCCCTGCCCCTGCCCCTCTGCCCCTACCCCTGCCCCTGCCCCTGCCTCTGTCTCTGTCTCTGCCCCTGCCTCTGCCTCTGCCCCTGCCCCCTTCCCCCCCCCCCCCCCTCCCCCTCCACCGGGGCACCCCCACTATCTTTCTTCGGCAGATGTCCCTGTCCCTCTCCCCTCTCCCGACTCGGCAGCTCACTTTCACCCGAAGTACGACTTTGCAGGCGTGCGCCATGGACCGGCCAAAGGGGGGGCAGCTGCGCAGGCGGAGGGGGGGGGGGGGGGGGGGGGGGGATAGGGGGGGAGACG